TGTATTTTTTTATTTCAAAATAAGCTACAAACATGCATTTATATATTAGGATATATACTTATGTATGTATTTGTATGTGTGAGTGTGTAGGAACATAGTCTCTTGAACTCGTGTCAGCAATTTTCCTTTTTCTCTGCTGTTGCTGTTATCCAGTTAGTCCTGTGCCAGAAAAGAAGGAGATAAAAATATGGATTGATATTTCTAATATGAAAGTAGTAGTTAGCTAACCTTTTATTTTCAGTATTTATTTTATTTCAGTATTTTAAGTTAGTTAACTTTTTATTTTTATGTTAGGAGTATGGGTAAGGTTATAATTGTGGCTGCATTTTTTTGGTTTAATTTCCCTGAGATGTTTTCCTGATGCAAAGATTTTTTTAAATCAACTTCATACATTGGGGAGCTAATGTTAGATCCATGAAAGACAGTGCATGCAAAGACATAGAACTCCTGTGTTCAGATGAATTTTGGTCTGACTAAACCAATAAGAATGCCAGCCCTAGTGTACTGGAGCAAAACCAAGTGGAAGGGAAAAAATAGAAAGAAAAATAATTTTCCTTTATAGGTAGCAGTAGAGAATTTTTAGAAGTGCCATTTTTTGGAGAAAGTGTGTTTGCTGAGAGTCACAAGGTTCAGGTTCTGATTACAAATTTATTTATGACTTGCAGGCAGAAAGGTGCCCAAGTCTGTCTTTTTAGGACAACATACTGAAAGTTAGGCATCCAGCAGCTCTGAAAATTTCACTTGTTCAGATATAGTTGCATGATTTTATACATATATACTTTAGTGTTCCTTAGCCTTGGTATTTATTTCTGTGTCTGTAAAATAGTGGTGGTATGTTAGAAAAGGTATGAGACTAATTTTGAATCTTCATGAATTTCATCCAAAATAGAATTGAGGAAATGTTAGCAAAGCCTGTCATGGGACAGCTTTTGCCTATGAAAAGATAATGCATAATAAAGAGGACAATTTTGTACACTGAGAGGCACTTTATAGATACATGTTAAAGGTATGTTTAAAAATAAAAGTTAAATAATTTCATTATTTTTATGCAGATGACAGGTTTTCATAGGTTATGTCTTTTTCAGACAGGGATGATAATGACAGCAACAATTCCATATTATAATAATACACCCTTCAGGAAGAAACACCAGCTAATCAGAAAGCCAGTACTCACCTTAGTATTTTTAGCTTTCAGTTAACTGTGCTGTTTAGTGAATACTTTGGTTCTATTATTATATCTATGGAGAATTTTTTGGGTTTTTTTTAAAGCTTTTACTGTCAACTCATTTTTCAACTTTTCTTAGAATTCATACAGATAGTATAACTGTAGACATTTAAGTTGTATCTATATTTAAATTAAAAAAAAAAAAACCAAAAAACCCAACCCTCATCTTTCTCTGTGCATTTTTGAATCTTAAACTTTTCTGCCTTTGTCAGAAATCATAGTGCAGTTCAGTGTATCTGAAACAATGAGCTTTCGGTGGGTAGAAGCAAGACAACTCTTATTCTGAAAAGACACTGCTTGCTTTTGCTGTCGATATTTTTTGTATAGTTCTTGAATAGCCCAATTGTCCTTCTGTGCACTCAAAGTGAATGAATTCATCTTTCAAAGTGGAGCACTTCTTTCTTCTCTGTACCAATTCCCACTTCTGTTTCTGAAGTAGAGAAGAAGACTGCACTCCTGAAAGCATACAATTCTGAGCACTGAAATTAAATTCTGCTGTACCTGTCACTCACAAAGCCAGGTTTATGCCAAGTGTTGTGCAGTTACCCTAAGGAGTTTGTTTGGACCATTATGGAAATAACTTCACTCTAATGCACCAATGAAGTTGCTTAATTTGCCACCATATTCTGTTCTGAAAAGTAGATTCAAGTTTCTTAACATTTCTGACATTCCTCACACTGGAATTCAGTATTGTAAGTTCTCATGCCCTTGCTGAATGTAAAGCATAATGAGTTATTCTTTCTTTAATGGGGTTGTTCAGACACTGCCCACTTGTGCAAATTTTGACAGATTTGTGCTGCACCTAAAGGTAAAGGCTTTCAAATTAATGTACTTTGTTTCTAGAGTGCTTTCTTGGTTCTCTATTGTTAAATGAAGTACTACAAATTTTGGTGTCTGTTTTCACAGACATAAATATTTGTGTGATTTTCATGTGGCAGGTTGCTTCCATGCAGCTTGCTCTGTTTTGCTCCAAGGAAAGGAGGTGCAACCAGCTGTTTGAAGGCATAAGAAACAGTCTGAAAGGAATATAGAATAAATATTTTCAAGAAGGAACATTATGGGATAAGAAGTTAATGAAATTTAGTTAGCGTTTCTTTCCTTTTATGTTATGTAATGAAATTCTCAGTTGTCAGGCAAAAAATTGAAAATTCTCAGTTATCATAATATTAATAATATATAATATTCATATACAAAAGGACTTCCTTTTTTTACAGCCACTATTTGGGAAATTTATGAAGTAAAATCCTACAGAGACCTCAAAGCATGTTGTTGTTGTTGGGCTTTTAATTCTTTGAGGATGTGTAGGTCAGTGGCTAGTAAATATAATTTTCTTTGCTGCAGCTGTTTGTTTAGGGACTTTTAAGTGCATAGATTGCTGGAAGCATTTTTGGGAAGATGAGCATATACATTTTTTTGTTTGCATTATTTTTATGACTATCACCAGTAGGAAGTGCCTAAAGGGAAGCTATTCTACAGGGGAACTTTGATCTATCTTAGTAACGTAGTTATAATTTTGGTTGTGTTTGTTAATAATTTACCTTCAGTGAACTTTATTCTGGACCTAGAAGTGTATTGAACACCTTTTAACCATGGCTTCTGGTGGTTTTTCAGCTGTTATTTAATAAACAAAGAATGCATTGCACTGTGCAGGTTCAAGGATGGGCTTATTACCTCTCATTAAAAAATCAGGACTTCTTAAGGCAAATTATTTTAAGTAATTTGAAATACTTGAATCCACAAATGAAAATTGCAACCAGTTTACATCTCAGAAGCATAAACCGTTTAATTCTACAGAGGTAATGGTTTTGGGTTGTTTTGGTAAGGTTTCTTTTTTTTTTTTTTCATTTCACTGATAGAAATTCAAGTTTTGTATTTTTCTTTCCTCAGCCTTTTCTTTTTCACTATTTCATGCTCCTCTTTTTCTCACTGGTGATGTGAAGTTAAGAATGCTTCACTGCTACAGAGGATGCTGTCAAGTCCACACTCAAAGGAGGTTTTTCTGCCCACTCTTTCCCCATACAGGGTGAATCAGGGACTGTGTAGGCTTAACAGAAGTCTCTGCTCTCTTCTGAGGCAGGTGTGTCAGTATGAAACCCCTTGATTTATACACAAAGAGAGTGGGGGCTGAAGATGAGGGGAGAGAATAAAAATGCCTAAGTTACAGAATAGGAGGGTGGAAGAAAAGGGGAAATATTTAAAATAATTTCTATTTTTTGTCTATTTTCTAAAATAAATTATTTGAGGAGTGGCTAACACAGATTACTTATTGAAACGCTTCTACGTTTTATAAAGATTTGTGTTGAAATTCACACCTGGTTCCCCACTGCTACTGTCAAAGATAATGGCATGTAAAAAAACACCCAAAAATTCTTAATTAGAAGTCTGGCAAGGAAACATTAGCTAACGTATCTCACAGTATATTTAAATTGTAGGAATTCTGTCATTCTAAAAATCTCATCTTTTAGTGGATGTTATTATGCTTTTTGGGGCATTATTCTATTCAATGCCTCGTGTGATACAATTGATACTTCTGCTTGTGCATAGACACACAGATGTATGTGGCTTTTCTTGGATTTAACCTTAGCAATCCTGGCTACAATGATAGTTTTATTTGCTCATACCTGAAATAGGGAAATAAAATTAGAAGAGTTTTGTGAAGTAAGTTCTCCATACTTCTTAGTGCTCAAAAATTTGTGAATCTTACAAACAGAGACTTGTGAGTGATGCAGGTTTAAATATGTATTGACTAGAAAAACAATGCTCTCTTCAGAGGCAGGCAGCTCTGAGGCTTTTACCCTTCAGTGCTTTTATTTTTATTAGTGTGTACCCAACTACTTGTTATGTGAGAGGTAACAGTGAACATGCAGATGGTAAGAGATATGAATTTGGCTCTTTGCTTGGGTGATACAGCTTGGTTTTAGTTCTGATTTATTTACTATTCTGAAGAAGTATGCTAATATTTCCAGAAATTACACTTGTGGAAGTGACTGCCTTGAGATCAACATGTAAATAAATTTAAAGAAGGAAATGCAGATGGTACTCCAAATAGATAAGAAATAATGTATGCATTCATCTGATTTTCCAGAATCCATACATTTTGAGAGACCCTCACAGGAGCTCAGTGTGAGCTCACATTTTATTTCCCAGTTCTGCCAATACAAAAGTTATTTTTTAGTACATTTTTCCATGTTTAAAAAAAACCCCAAACAATTTCACTTGTGAATCACAACTAGCTCTTTGTCTATTTTAGCTGCTGCATAGGATCTTTTTTCAAAGACATGTTTAGTTCGCGTTCTACAACAGAAACATGAGGAATCAGTGGTTTAAGAAAGAATTTTATACACATTTAGTTTGTTAAAGAGCTCAGTCTTAAAGCAAGAAAAGCTGCAGTCAGTTAGAAGGATTTAGATTTCTAAAGTTTATGTAGACACTAAAGCATGATTTAAGCTGGATCCTTCCAGAATTTTGCACTTACCTTATAATGCAATCTAGTGTTTAACCTTTTTTTTTATTCTTTCCTTTATTAATAGTTTGATCATGCATTTTTACTCTTACCAACAACCAAGTAAGGTCATTATAGCAGTTGGAAACTTTTTGGTTGGACAAAATTTAGTGGAGGTTTGTTTATCCATTAAAAAATTACAAGTGGCTTATATGCTATGGCAAAGATGTCTGATGCTAATCTCGTTTTGTTTGGACCATGACAAAATAATTTTTCTTTACATGTTTTATTCTTGATTGATAACCTTCTAAACATTTATTATCTTTTTTCTAGGACTTTAAGACAGGATTTGGTATCACTTTAATCCCTATGAATGTGGCAAATGTAAAACAAGTGGATCGGGCTGCAAAGCAATCTTTTGAAATAATTACTCCTTATAAAAGCTTTAGGTAAGAAGTTGAGTATTTACTTTAGAAAATATGCAATTAACTAAGGCACTAAAGAAAAACTGATTTCGTACTGCAGTGCTGTAGCTAGGTTGGATGAAAAGGTAATGTTTTTATTAAGGATGTTCAGCAGTGTTTAGAAAAATTGGAGGATGTTCTTTGATTTGTTTAGTTGTGTGCTTCATCTCTTAGTTCCTGACTAGGCATATTATGTCCACAGGTTTGTACTTTTATGTAGCCTTCATTGTTCATTCTCTGCAAGGGCAAAAGGAAAAAAAAAGAGAAATGAATTCCTCCACTTTCACAAATTGACTTCATCCTAAAGAATAATAAACTTCAATAGTGAAATAATGCTGCATCCATTTAGTCGTATGCATTTTATTTGAAAAGAAGCTTTCATTTGCTATCCCTTGTAGAAATCCTAGGCTGAAAGTAGTTGAATGTTTTACTTTGACTGATTGCTGAGACTTGTAATGATTTTTAAGGAAATGAAAGTACATGCTAATAAAAGCCTTTTGTTAAGTGTTGTAGTGTTTCTTAACTGAAATGTTGTAATGAAGGAGGAAATTTCTTTGTTCTCCTGGGATTGTTAAATGTTAGGAAATACTTTCACTCTCAGTCAGCTAGCAGGTAAATTAGTCTTGATCAGCAGTTTGAATCTGTTGCTAGTTGGTAGATAGCTAGTTCTTTGATTTTTTTCTTAAGATAAGACTTTGTTAATTTTTTTTATTATTTAATTTTTATAAAGATAAATTTAAATGAAAAGCAAGTATTTTTTTAATTCTCAGTAATTTTTTTTAATTCTCGGTAGTTTTTTCAATTCCCAGTCTTTTTTTAATTCTCATTTAATTCTCCATGTTTCCTTATGTCATTCTATGCTTTTGTTAAAGTTCAGTGTTTAAGTTTGGTAATGGGTAAAATAAAAAGATTGAAATTAACTCAGGCATGTTACATGAATGTTACAAAAGCTACATACCTTATACGAGTAGTGGTTTTGTTGCAAACAATGCTAAAACAGAGCAAGTTTCATTGAATTCAAAAATACAAAATTATACATTCTATCTTAGGTTTTATATGTGTGGAGGAAGATTTTTGACTGTGATTTCGGGTGTAAATATAATAAATAAGGAGGCTACAGACCATGTTTAATTGGGCTTTAAAATAAAGATCAATAACACAGAAAAGTCAATTGTTTCAGCTTTACAGCAGAGTCAGAAAGAGAGAAACAAGACTGGATTGAAGCACTCCAGCAATCAATAGCAGAAACTCTATCTGATTATGAAGTAGCTGAGAAGATTTGGTTCAATGAGTCCAACAGGAGCTGCGCTGACTGTAAAGCTCCCGGTCCTGACTGGGCATCCATCAATCTCTGTGTTGTCATTTGTAAGAAGTGTGCAGGTAGAGTAATTAATGGCAAGCTATGTGGGTTCCACAAAATGTCACATTTGCATATCTATGTATGTCCTTGAATTGGCATTATTTTTTGGTTTGTTTTTTTTTTTTAATTTTTGGAGTGTTATTCTGATAGAAGTTTTGAGAAACAAAATGTGAGCATAACTTTTCTTTTTAGTACCATGGTCAGCCTTTTTCTAAAGCACCTCCATGCATAAATGACATGTCTGTAGTGATTGAATTCTCTCAGGTGAATCATCCTTCACAATTAGTGGAAATTAAGACACGCTAACACTTCATGGGAAAGGAATGGCTTTCGCAAGGCTAGATGCCAAAGAATAACAATTTTCAGTGTATAAATTTTGGGTATTAATTTTTTTACATCTGCACATATTTTACTGCCAATAGGGATAGCTTTTTCAGATACTGCTCAAAATACAGTTGTCATGTTTTATATTGAAATGCTTAAGCTGTAGATTCAAGGAAATAATTTATAATTCTAGGCTTTCTTTCAAACCAAGCTATCCCAGAAACAGTCTACATGAGACAGCCTATTTTTTTATTCATTACTATCAAATGAAATTAACTTTTTTTTTTAAATATTTTTTTTAATTTAAATTATTCAAATGTCAAACTCAACCTTTTTTAAAAACAGCAAGTAGAATAAATCTGCTTTCATCACTTTTTTTAAATCTAAGCAGAAAAGAAACCCTGTTTAAGTGCCTTAGCTAAGTAATGCTGCTGGATTTTCAGGACAGCACAGGTCTTTAGGACCAAGAGATTCCAAGGTCCGGAGTCTAAAAATGGATGCAAGCATTTGGAGCAATGAACTTATTGAGGTATGTTGTGATATTCTAACTCTTTTTTCCATCTTGAAACTTACTGTATGAAAGGGAGGTATTTGCTGCTTTACTCTTAAGAAAACTGAACATACAGCTGCTAAACAGTATGGTGCTGTTACTGTAGACTTGATGCTTTTGATGTTACTGTTCATCATGTACCTCTCAGGAATTCCAAATATTTGTTTTGCTAACAAAATGTAGTTTCTCTTAGTATTTCTCCAAGTACTAATATTTCGGGGGAAAAAGAAATCAAATGCTTTTGGAGAGCACTCAAGATGAAGAAAGGGGAAAAGAGGAAACTTGTCACTACCAGTTTTGCTGCTTGAGATGTTGAAAAGGGGTGGTGGTAAACAGTGGTCCTGACAGAGAGGGTTGGAGCCATCAGTTTTCTTTAAAACACATGCTACTCTTTTCTGAACTTGAACTAATATTTTCTAATATATAATGAAGTATTGTAACTGATTAACCTTTTAAAGCTTGGCTGCTATTGATGGTAAATGATGGCTGCTGGCTGTATTATTCATTTGTAGATGACCATAGGCAGTGACTGAGAGAGGCTGCTGTCTCCTGAAGGAAATTTTCTTTTCTTTAATAACTTTCTTCTTCAAATTTTAGCAGCTGAGAACTGTTCAGAGGATAGCTTCATATCCTTCATACTAATTCGCTAATTTATTCCCTGCATCTCATCCAGATCTTTATCGTCATTGGAAATAAGAGGGCAAACAGTTTTTGGGCTGGAAATCTTCCTCCAGATGAAGAATTGCATATTGATGACCCTGCAGAAAAAAGATTAGCATTCATTACACAAAAATACAAAGAGGGAAAATTCAGGAAAACACCCTTCCACTACAAAACCAAGGAACAGTTGAATAAGGTAATACAGCGTGGTTAAGCCAATACCATGTTTTGGATTGTATTGTGTCTGTCTGCAATTTGGTCATCTTGTTAAACTGGTAAGAAATTAATTCCGTGTCCTGAATGACATTCTGACACAGTTGAAAAGGGTTATTTCGGAGCCTTTGCAGTAGTCATTGCATAACTACCTAGTTTATTATTTTTTCTGTTGGTTGATTTGATGAAGGTTATTGTAGTTCTTCCTATGTTTTCCTGAGCCATCAAAATATGGATCTTTATTTTAATGTAACCATAGTCTAGGGATGCAAATTTCCACTTCACTTCTTTAGATTACTTCCTTATGTGTTTTGTCTGAAATCTAACATTCAAATATAGTAGATGATTCATTGTCATTAATGGTGAAAATAACAGATACACACTTACATAGTAGCTTGTAGCTTATTGGAAATGAAAAATCTTAAATTAATGATGGAAAATGTATGTTCTCTACTTTTACAAAAATAGCAAGTTCTTTAGAGTTGTAAAATAGAGAACTTCAATTTTCAATGTCTCTGTAAAATTTGATGTCCATTTGACTGATTTCTAAGATCTGATGGCTTGAGTCGTGATTTTTCAGGGTTACTGAATACAGAACAGTTTTAATGCATTCTGCAATTCAGTGCACTCAATTGCGTGAATCAAATTGTCTCAAAGAATATACAGAGATTGTGGGGTTTGTTTTTTGTGGGGAAGGATATATGTCAAATAATCATTTAAATACTGGGAAAAGTTATCAACTTCTTTGTAGAGACATGAAATTACCATGTAATAAGGCATTAATTGCCAAGTAATTCTAGAACTTTTACTGAACGGTCTTTGTTATCTTGTGCGTCCTGGGTGTTTATGTGTTTATTAGAACAGCTAAATTTTATAGGAGTAATCTTCCTATTTTGAGTGACTTTTGCCTTAATCATTTAAGAGAAACCCATTCATTAACTAAATAACTTAAATAAATATTAAGTCATATAAATTTTAATGGAATAGGTTGCTCTAATTATGTAACTGTTTTTGATTTTAAGGTTTTGGACAAATCTTATAAAAAAAAAAGTTAAAGTTTATAATGTTTGTCTGTGTATTCAAAAAATAAAAGGAGACTCATGATTTAGGATGTGGTGAGATGTTTAAATTTCAAGGAAGATGAACAGGTATTAAGATACAGGTTAATAAAAAGAGTGAAAAAAACTTAATGTATATTAATTAACTTAATGTATCTTATAATACATCTTAATAAAAAGAGTAGTTTACCTTATTGACTGATGGGGGTTTTAAAATCTACCTAGGAATTTCAATATGAGTCCCAGCAACAGAGTTTAAGAATCTAATCTCATCTCTTTTGTTGAACTTCTGAGGTCTGAAATAGTAAGAGTTTTTCTTTAGCAGTTTGATGTAAATAAACAGCAAGCTTCCCCTCCAATTGTATTTACTCATGTTATCTTTCCAAAGTGCAATTTGTGAAAGCAACATTTTGCTGGGTTTGGGTTGATATTTTGGGATATTTTTGTTGCTGAATTCTTCTAGATTCAGCCAATACTTCACGGTTTCTGGTACTTCTCAATGTTCATGGTACAGCTATATCAGAGTTGAGATGATTTGAGTCTAGGTTGCACATATTTGTTGACAGTAACTTTCTAATTTAAACAGACTTCCTGTTTCCCCTCTCTCTGATAAGGCCCTGTGTGCTGCTGTAGTCAAGCAAGATGTACTCGAAACTCTGATGTTGCTCTTCAGTGGGGCTGATGCCATGTGTGCCACTGGAGACCCTGTTAACAGCACCCCATACTTACTGGCCAAGAAAGCTGGACAAAGACTGCAGATGGAATTCCTGTACCATAATAAGTTCTCAGGTATGATGCATTTTGTTCCTTTGATCTAATTTTTTATTATGACAAAGAGAAGGAAATAATTTAGAAGCAGAATTGGCTTTGCTTTGAAGAATAGTGGTATATCAGAGAAGCAGTTGTGATGGCATTAACTATATTTTATTAGAGCACAATTTCACTTGTGTGCAGTTTTGCTGTTTTGCTCAGACATCATGTTTAGTACTTAGACAACACAGTGATAAGTCACAGATCTCATACCCTTAGTTATACCACAGAAAAAAACTCATCATCTTCTTGCCAATATTAACAGTCTTTTACCAGAAAAAAAATGGGTACGCAAACATATGTCTAAAGAATTAATCTAGTTAATCTATTAATCTTTTTCTTTTCCTTAAAGAATATTTAAATTGATATCCACTCCTATTGCACACAGACCTAGCTGTTTTTTTCACAAACTCTCTTCCCAAAATAAAACTCAGCTCTTGAACCTGCAATAAGATCTATCCTAGAAAGCTCCTTTTCCCATCACAGCTTCTGTTGCAGCTTGGAGCAAATGATAAACTTTGGCTTGGAAGTGAACAGTTCTGTTTGCAGTGTGTGGCTGCTATGAGGCACTTGAAAACAGAAAGCTGCTCTTAACAGTGAATGTATTGAGGTGCATGGATGTAACTGAGCTTTTCTTTTAAAAGCGCTGGGCATTGTCTGAAACCATCAGGGGCTGAAAGTTCACATACTGATCTACACTGAAAAAATAAAAAAAGCTATGTGGATGTAGTCCTGGACCAGCTTTCTCTTGGCTTGTGTCACTCTGCAAAGTGACAAGGATTCACATTCAGGCTGAGCAAAAAAAGGATTAGTGGGAAACACAGGAATGAATTAAAGCTTCCAAGGGCAGACACAGTGTCTAAATTTCTGCCTGAGTATTGCTCAGGCCAGTGCCATGCACTGGGTCACAGGATGTGGAGCTCAGTCAGGTGCAGACATGTAGCTAGGGTGATTTCTTTGCTACCTATGGTCTCAAGTGGTCCTAAGGCTATGGAGAGAGAAGTTTACTTGTCTTTTCTACTTTTTTTTTTCTCCAGCCAAGGTAGCACCATCATGTTCTTATCTTTAGGGGAGGGGAGACAGTGTGTGTTGATGATGATTCCCAGAATTGTCTGTCTGCTGCCGGAGTTGCTGGTAAACTCTATATAATCCCTCAAGAGAAGCAATCTCCTTCTGTTGAAGTATATTACACAAGGGATGAAAATCAAAGTTCAGAACATCAGGAAACAGTATTTTATATTACCTTGGCAAGCAGTGGATGACAATGGCGACATTGTAACAACTTTGAACCAGGTTTTTTTATGAATCTGTTTTCTAATTATAAAAATAAAACCAGGAAGTTTTATCAGTGTTGTAGTAAAGATACTGCAGATCAACTGCATATTTGCAGACATGCATTTAGACATGTGGAAAAATGGCTTTAACTGATATAAATGAAGACCTGTATGGTTTTTACTCCTTTGTCTTTGAGCAGATTTCCCAAACTGTGATCCTTGTTGTGAAAGTGGCTTCTCTGAAGATTCTTCACATTCCACCTTTCTTTGTGAATTCTTGTACCAAGTTTCTTCTAATGCGGCTAAGCTTCCTTCAGAGAAGAAATTAAAAGAAGGTATTTAACTTTCAATTTATGTATTTGAATAACACATGAATATGTATGATTTGGATTAATTTTATTCTTTTTAACTTCTTGCACTACTTTTTTTGAGATTAAATGTCTTTGATAAGAAATGTCCTCTTTTGATTCAGTAGACCTCTTTCAGATAAAGAAAATACTGTTTGTCTTGATCTCTTCTTTCAGAAGTTGACAGAGGAAGAAAACTGAAGTTCTGAAAAATTGTTCAGTAAACACAGTAATTGATAAATAAGAAACAAACAGAAACACTTCTTGCTTTAATTATATTTAGATTAGTGCCAAGAATTAATTTTCATCTAAAATGATTCTATTACTGGAGTCATTTACAAGTAGCACTGAATTTTTAGTAGGGTGTTTCTCAAGCTCACGAATTTACAAAATCTTCCAAGTGGAAATGAGCATCTACAATGACTCTATGACAACATGAGCTTTGTGGGAGGGATAATGCATGTATATCACAGTAGATATACACGGCCCCCTGTGCATATCAGTCTACTGTTTTTCTTTTTTTTCTGAGAGGAGGTGTTATCAGATAATTTTTCCCTTTTCTTCCCATTTGTCTTCCTATATTTTTCTTCCATCTAAACAAATAAGATAGATTTTTAAAATCTGTTGTGATTTATTATTGAATTTATTGCTTCTAAAATCCGTACACGCCATCCTGTGCTGGTGTATACGCATTTTTGTATGATTGTGTCCATTTTCTCATTCCATATGCCTTTAATATTATTAATGGATATTAAAAGTATGCTAAAGCTTATAACTCCTGTTTAAATATGCTTTTGAAGAATCTGTATGTTAACGTGGCTCCAAATTCGTGAAAGCATTGGGTGATGACTGTTCTAATGCCTGATCACAGGCCTGTCCTAGCAACTTTGCAATTCTTAACAAACAGGCCTGTTTTGACAGAGGACTGCTGCTGGATAGGACTTTATCTGGGATTGCTCTGAAATTGCATGGAGCTTATTTGGGAAACAATGTATTAACTGAAAAGCTCATTGCTACTTGCTCCAAGTTCAAGCCTGATCTTCTGTGCTGTGGATATCTGTATATATTCATAAAGAAGTTTATTAAAAAAATCCAGAAGTCAGTGCTTAGCCAAGTGGAGAGCAGATACAAGGCAATCTCTTCTGACACAATGCCATATTAGAGGTGGCATATTTCTAAATACCTGTATAGATTGAAAATTTGGCTGAAAGTGCTCACAGAATGGCTTCTTGTAGCATTTTGGGGGGGAGATGTACTGCGACTGAGTATTGTTAGTAGGATTGCTTAAAATTTATAAGGAAAGCCCCCAGACAAGAAATTTTGACTGTCTTCCATTCAAGTCTTTAGTGGACAGAAATGAAGCTGCTTTGAAAGTTTGTAGTCTGTTACTTACCATTGCACTTACTACTTGAGGGAGCATACAATAAATGCAAAGGAACCAGATTTCTCTGAGGTCAGGTTTTGTTCTCTGAAATTGTGATTGTGTCTTGAAGATGGTAGATGTTCTACTGTTTGCTTTTTTGGGCGTGGGCATTTGTTTGCTTTGTTTTTGTATTGCTGTTCAATTACCCATGGGTTTGTCAGGACTGGTATTTCTGGGATGGGCTCTTTACAGATACATAGGAGATAGTTTCCCTGACCATTTGTTCAACGAGACACAAGGGAGGGAGATGTAATGACATACTTTAAAAAACAAAAAAACCCTGCAACTTTGAATGAGAAACTGCTCTTACCTTAGGGCTCTAATCTATCTCTGCCATGTTTAAAAAGCAGTATGACATAAGTACTTCTTGCTACTCAAAATGCAAAATATATAATCTTTCTTTTTCTCTTCTTTCACTACATCCAGAACTGTTTCTTAATCTCACTAACATGAAGTAATACTCATATTGCAAATTATTGTGAATAAGTGGACATACTATTTTTCATTCTCTTTAGGAAGAAATTTGAGGGTTAGAGTAGTAATATGGGGGACAAATTTTCAGTTCTTTCCTCTGCCTGTAGATATTCAAATAAGGTCATGTTACCTGAAAAATCTCACCTAACTATCTAGTTGTAGAGAAGAGAACTCCTGCTGAAGCAGTTCTGACTTGCCATGAACTAATTGAGGCCTCTGCAGGCCATAGGGGAGCACCATTTTCTCCCAGCATTTAGACAAATTTGGGGCCTTTTTTTTTTTTTTGTTACTGCTGTGTGTGGATAGGGCTCCAAATCAGAATCCTGGGAAGCTGTTTAATCATTAGAATTAAGTTCTTCTTCAGTGTTAGGAATCTCTGAGGCAGGTGACAGTCTTGTCTTCAGCATCAAGGGCTGAAAATTTAAGTGCTTTCTTGTCACAGAAAACTGTTGCCCCTTTGTAGACTTGGCCCTAATGGTAAAGGGACACTGAAGAAATCATTCTTGTGATGCAATAAAGCAATAAATTCAAGTGCTGTGAATTAACCAAGGTTTTGTCCCAGCCAGGTGGAACACCTGGAAATACAGCCTCGTTTTTCATTATGTGTGTCTCAGTACAGGAGAGAGCCAACTCTTTGTGTACTTCTCATTACAGCAGCGTCAGTGTTTTCAGCAGGGGTGCGTGCATTTTGAGGAGAGTTATTGTTAATTAACAGCTGTTGATATCAGCGGGAGGAGAGCTCAAATGTTGGTGCTATTCTGATGGAGTGGATCAAAAAGTGAAGCTTAGAGGTTTAGGGGCTCAAGTTTGATTTTTGCTTTTGTTTCTAGTGTGTAAAAGGTTTTATGGATCCCTTTAAAAAGCTTCAATATTCCAAAATTGTCCTTGAGAGTTTAATAGTTTAATGAACATTGAAGTAGTGAGCTGTTTTGCAGAATAGGTTTTGGAAGATGAGGGGGGAAAAGCCAGGGGACAAAAAACCCTGAACATTCAAAACCTTAAAATTTGGTGCTCAGCTCTCATAAACGAATACATTACCAAGCCATTTATCTTATGGTTATTTTAGTACTTAACATTTGTATTTAGACAGAATATAGATAGCACTAGGTAGCAAATAGCATGATATAAACAAATATTAACAAATAGTACAAAATATTTATAAAACTTATATAAACCATATAGAAAACAACAGAAAAAGCATGAAATATCAGATAACATAGTTAATATTTTCAGATTACAACTGGGTTTTGTTGTTTGATTTTTCTGGGTTTTTTTTGCCTGATCTGTTTTACCAAATTCTCAGAAATACTTTGCCAGCTGTATAGGAATTTTTAGACAGTGGAAAATAAGAAAAGTATTTTCTTTTATGATCTACTTCTCTGCAGCAGTGGAAACAGATGGGCCTCAGATTTTGTTCTAAGAAATAGACATAAGCTAGAATGAATTTATGACTATTTTCAGTAGCAAATAGACATTACTATGTTGTGTCATGTGTTGTATTCATATTTGAGGACATAAGAGGAAGTAAACATTTAGTTGTAATTAAATATACCAAATAATTCAGTGAAGTTGCTCTGCAGACTTTTTTCTCCATCTTATATTTACCTATTAAAAAAAAAAAAAAACTTAATGAAGAAAATCTGACCTTTCTATTTTTTTTTTTAATCACAGATTGCAACAAAAGATGGTGCACTTTGGAAAGTGGCTTTCTGAGCTACTATGAAAATGATAAAACTACCACTCCTAATGGTATGATTGACGTCAATGAAGTTATCTGTCTTGTAGTACACAAGTCAGACTTCTTTTTAAATAGAGGGTAAGCTCCTGAATTCATATCTCAATAAACAAACTGTTCATTTTTTCCTGAATTTTGAGTAGGCAATTTCGAAAAAAAGCTGGTTTTTTCTGACTTCAAGAAATTAGTGCTATGTCATATTTAGGGAATTTTTATAGTGATAGAATGAAAATATTAGGGTAATTTAAAACGGCAGCTTAAATTAGATGCATATGTTTCTTTTTAAATTTGTAATGAATATTCTCAATGCTTGAAAGGTTACATGATGATAAATTGAACAATTAATACTCATTTTTCTTTCTGGTATTGACCTCTGCTTCAAGCCAAAATTCTCGCTTTGCTTCTTCCTTGTAATGCAGCAGACTAGAGCTCTCCACAATGCTTCTGGATTTGGTCACAGAGGCATTGGTTTTTGAAATCTATTCTTAGTTCTGTAGCTGAGGACACCAGTGGAACTGATGAACATTTTTAACTGGAAGAAACCAGCTTTTCTTTCTTTTTTATTTTGGGGGTTGGGGTGGGGAAGGTCTTGTTTTTTCTTTTATAACTCTCTCACATCCCATTTGTTCATGAAAAACATCACATAGGGAGTGACCTAAATCTGATTACAGTGATACTCAATTTCTTTAGGGCAACATTTTTGTTTAAAATATGCTTTGTATTTGTCTAACAGATTTCATAACACTTTGTTTTTGCATCTGTGTGTATGCACCTAAAAAAAAAAAAAACTTTCTATAGTATAATACTGCAGTGCTGTTAGTTACAAAACAAAATTGTCTGCAAAGAAGGCATAGTGTATTCAGGAAGCTCCTGAAAAAGATAATGGGAATAAAGGACGTAGACTGCTACAGGGGAGAGAGATCCTGAAACATGGTGATGTCTCAATATGCCATCAAATACAGAGAAGTGACCTTCACTATTCTGCAGTAGCTCTGTGGCACCCAGACAAAAGAAAAAAAAATCACTTTTTTCTTCTGTGTTCAAATCTAACCTATTGTTTATTGCATTTCCAGATGGTTCGATTTTAGGTTAATAACTAAATTAAAAAACATGTTGGCTGAATACTTCACTGTTTGGAAATAACTAAGTTCCTGTTGTGCTTTACTTGTGATTGAGGAGTTTTATGAGAAACTTTACTTAGATTTGACATTTCATGTAGTGAAACAGCGGGTCCTTAAAAATGCCTATTCTGTTAGTCAGAACTAAGTGTTTATATAATTTTCCAAGTGGCTATTGAAAATTATAGTAGTGACTCATGCTCAGTTCTCCGCATTTAGACAAATCTCAGTCTTCAGGATTGAAAGGAAAAAACATACTCCATCTATTTGGCATCTTACAAGAGGTCACAGGAAAAATCATACTATAAATTGCTGAACCATAATTTTTGAGTTAAAGAGTGACCGACCCAAAATTCAGCACCATATTTACTTTCCAAATTCCACACCAATTTAAACTAATTTGCGTTTTCTTCTTATTTGTCCATTAAAAATTGAATAAACAGGGTTCATCTGCTGAAATAGTGGTATAATTTTTAAAAGGAAAGATACCCAAGAAGCTCCCTTAAGGAAACTTTTAAGAGTTTCTTTACCTACAGCAACTTCAAAGTATTCCTACTCTTGGTGATGGCAGGGATACACAGTGACCATGCATTTCACCCCAGCAGGTTCAGGCTGCCTGACAGGAAAAGCCTCCTCAGTTAAAAGGGCAGGTGAAGGGCAGGAACAGGTTGGTGACAAGGATAATAATCTCCATCCTTGGCTGTTTTCAAGGCTTCTCATTGTGCTAATCCCTCTTTGAGCACGAGATGAGATCAAATGACATCTAAAAGTCCCTATGAAACAACATTTCAACTTGTTTACAACTTCCCGTTCAACTGGTTGTTCAGCTTATATTAAACATAGAAAAATATCTTTTGAATGCATCACAAAAATGTGCTTGATCAAATAACATGAGCTTGCGAAAGCAAAAAATTCCCTATGCATTTTTAATGACTATATGTAAACATTTTTATGCATTTTGGAATTATTCAAAAAATTGTTACACCATAGTCTTTAAACCTGCATTATTGACCTGCAAAGTACTTTGATCCTGATGTATTGTGAAGTGCTTTATTATTAGCTGCTTGTAATATTGGAGGAGAAATGCAGATGGGTTCCATTCCATATGTATGAAAGAATGAAAAAATAGTGAAATAAATTGACACTAGTATGTCTGCTCTTTTGGAGACTAAATACAACTGTGTTTCTTCTCTTACTTCCTTTAGGGACATCTTTACATTTGAAATACACTTACTGTCAGAGCGTGTTTTTCTGTTTGGAGCTGAAACTGCACATTCACAAAGAAAATGGACTTCAGCAATAGCTAAGGTAATACTGATAATTATCTTTTTCAGTTAGGCCAGGAGCCTTTGCACAAATAATAAAGTGCCATTGTTAGCTTAAAACCTTTGAGAAGCCATTATTGATGAATACTGATCTCTCCTGCGTGTAAAGGTTTCTTGTGCAGCAGGAAGAAATAACTTTTGTGATTTAATGTTTGAAACAAGGTAATAAGATGTGAAAGGAATTGAAGCAGCATTTAAATGCCGACCTTAAGAATATATTAAACGTGCTCTAATATAAAGACATATACTGTATGAGTATATTTCAGCTAAGTTTTTTATGGTTGCAGTTCTATTAAATTTATTTGCTGAAATGAAATTCATAAGGCAATACCATATTTTATACTGTTCCAAATGTTAATAATCACATTACTAATTAAATCAATGGTAGTTTAAAAGCAAACATGTTTGAATTGTAGAGCATGAATGGAAAAAATGTTAAACTGGATTTTGCATTTGAAATTTAGTGTACCTATGGCCATATGAGTGTGGGTTTTACATCTCAGAGTTTGAGGTTTTTTTTACTGTGACCTTAATCCTGGAGTCCTGTAGATTTGCAATATTTTGATTTTGTTTTTTAGGGGCAGAGGGTTTTTTTCTTCATCTGACTCACCCCATTTTCTTTGGTAGCATTTTGTTCCCCCGGTGGCAGAATCATTGTTAGAGCGGGACTGTGACCTTATCGGGCAGCTGTACTACAAAGATTGCCACAGCCTGGATCAGTGGAGAAAAGGCTGGTTTGCTATAGAGAAGTCGAGCCTTTATTTTTGTCTTGAAATGGAGGATGCTGAAGAAGATTCCATATATCTAAGGAGGTTGCAAGAACTAAGTAAGAACATCTAGTATTCAGAAAGTGTTCTGTGGGATTAATTCACTGTTAAGGACATTTCTATTACATTTCAAAGTAATAAATATTGGGAAGCTCAGTAACTATTCCTTCACATAAGTCAGATGTTCTTCCAACTCTTATCTAAATATGGGGTTGGTTAATTTCTGTCTTGGGGTTTTTTTTCTACTTTTTGGCACATGCCAGAGAAATTTTTCACAGCTTTAAAATGAATGATGACAGTTTTCGTTCCGGTTGCAGCAGTATCTTTCTTACAAGAGTACAGAATTGAATAATAATATATAACCTTTTGGGATTATTGTCTCATATTTTTGACAGGGCAGAAATACTCACTGCAGAACACATTCTTGAGATGATTGACAGGTCTAGTTTTAAAATACTCAAACATACTGGAAAATTATAATTCTCTTGGAAAACTACTTCACAGACTAATAGACTTTTTTCCAATACTAAAAATATTATTTGCTCAGTATCATGATGTGATGAGATAAGAATGTTTGTATACATGGTCTTCTATGACCAATTTTATATAATCGTTTGTAGTTATGCTCTGAATCCTCTTTTAAGCATATCTGCCCTACTTGTTTTTATATTACACAAGGCAATATGTTACATATAAAAATGCATATAATTTGGGGTTTCTAATAAAGTAGCATAGAGAAGATAGTTTAGCTCTTTATTGATGATACTCTTTATGAATGCTGACAGATTGTGGACTGTTTTGCAGGAGCTTGCCTAAATGCCATTGGGTTTTCCACTGTTTATTTACTGCCACCTTATATTTGGTGTAAATAACACCATGAAGGTGGTTTTTAATCAGCAATGTTTTTATGCCTCTAGGTGTCTTTCAACTTGTGAATACTTTTGATCCTAATTCAGAATTAAAAGATTAGGCATAAGGAGAACTGTTCCTGATATTTTTTTTGATGATGCAACTGTAATTGCCTCTGCCAGAATCATAAGAGCGTGCAAAATCTGTGTATATTATATCTCATGTATAAAAATGAAAGACTTTTGACTTGCAGTTGAGAATTTGTTTCCCTTGGGGTTTTTAATATTAGTTGTATTTCTAGGAAATATTATATATCCATACTCTTTTCTTTGATTTCTGCTCTCTCCAGAATATATCTGCCCCACTGTTAATACTGATAATACTGATTTGTGAAATGAAACTTGAAAACTAATGAATCATTTTTGGAAGTATAGTGACTTATGTTCTTGCTATTTGACTCAGTAAATATAGATGAAGCCAGAGTTTGTGTGACACAAAAACATCATATAACATGCAATGTGTTTATTGGTTTTAATTGGTATTTAGGACTTTACTCTCTCTGGGAATTAGTTCAAATAAGGTGTGCATTACATATGACACGCACTTTGAGAAATTAAGTTTTCAGAATTTCAAATTAGTAAGCAGGTTACATTTAATTAACTGGTTTTAGTATAGTGCACAGTATAGTTTTTAAGCAGTGCAACTGAAAGCTATCCAGATGTATTTGATGTGTTATGTACAATGTGAGTGTTTTACAGGGTGCTTTTTATAGCAGGGATAACATAAGGCATAAAGAAGGGTAGAAATGATCTTCAAGTTAATGAATTCCAAAATCCAGCTTACTTCTGAATCATTATGTCTTCTACAACTTGTATTTGCAAGTTGAGTACAATAAAACACTGTAGCATATTTTCACATTAAAAAGTATGTTTAAACTTTCTTGATAATGTTTTGTGTTAGTTTTTCTTTTAAATGTAAATGTGGTGTGGTATTTTGTGGCGTTTTGTTACTATTAGCAGCAGCATTCTTTGTTTGCAAAGTTTAGGAATTCCATGCTCCTTTTGCCACTGGAGATCATTTTGAAAAAAAGGTCTGTCTGTATGTGCATGCATGTATGTGTTTGTCTATAAATATGTGTCTGTGAAGGTCATATGAATGTCTATGTGTTCTGTTTTCAGCAACCAGCAGTGTGATGCAAAATGGAGAGAGAATAGATGTCCTGCTACTCGTTGAAAAAGGAAGGTAAAGTTCTGATCTGAAAAAATATTTAATCCGTTTTTATAGTCATATCTTAGAATTATTGTTGATAAGTTCTGGAGTTTTTTCACTTAGGGTTGCTAGTAAGAGAGTAAATTTGCAGAGTTTTTAAAGGAGGGAAGATCTTTGTGCATTAATTACATTTTATGTCTGTCACAAAATGTTAACAAGCACTACTTAATTAAAAACTGTTTTCCCACTGAGAAAATTATTCCCAGATTAGTCTGCCAATAATGATTTCTTCAAAAGGATCTAACTCTTTTTACCTTGTAAAAAAGGAGTACCTCTTCGGAGCTTTTACTGTAAACTACTTGATTTTTTTAATCATTCTTATGTCTCAGAATTCTGTATCTCAAGCTGCCTGGATCAGGTTTGAGAGGATATGAATGGGTCCTCTGGTTAATCTTATTGTAATATCTGATCTGTTAACAATATACTGTCTAGGAGAAAGCATACTTACAAAGCAAACACGATCCATATCTGCTTCCAAGGAGGTAATATTTGGCAGAGATGACTGTGTCATATTTATAGTGATAGAGGAGATTGGAACTTGAGGTGAGGTATGTATTTCTGCCTCAAATATGTGTACAAATTGTGGAAGGTAATTCTTATTTTTTAGTAGCTTGAGGCTTTTTTAATTTCCATGATAGGTTATTGGGCAGGAGTCTGTCTTAAGTGGTGCAGTTTTTATACAGGCTTTTGAACAGCCAATAATAGGTTGATAAATGGAGGGTGTTTCTTTCTTTGGCAAACAAAAAAACTTCATAGATACCTTTGACATCTATTCAGAGTTGGAATAGCTTGTCAGAAATGCATTGTAACTTGTGTGTTAGAATTTTAACTCTTTCTAGGATATGGTATAAGTTTCAGAACTGAGTAGGGGTACGCAGGTTAGAAGGCAACACTTTTTCTTGTTTTTTTGGGGGAGTTCTGTTTTGAGTTGGGGTTTTGTTTGCTTGTTTGTTGATTTGATTTGTTTTGGTTTGTGTTTGTTTGGGTTTTTTTTCAAAAAAACATATTGAAAGTTGCAGCGTTAACTAAGCTGTATACACCAAACAGGGAACCTGAGGTATCCTAGTCAAGGTGCAGTCTAAAGATGGATATAAACTATGCATATAATTTCATAGGTATTAATGCTGAGCTAAACTTAGCTCCAAGTCAGGGCTTATTATTTATTTCATTAGATTATTCCTTCAAGTGAGCGTAGGTTTTCCCTGAACTACTCTAGTAGTTTAAGGGAAATTCTGGACTATTTGAAAATAATTTCAACAGGGACACTGGCTGATTTAAGGTGGACATGAATATATTTAATTTTTCTTCACTGAAGTCTGCCCTAAAAATTTAAATGCACATTATCTTCACATTATCTTAAACATTGAAAGCTATATGGGTGTATAGGCTATGGTGATTGTTTTTTAGGATATTGCTTCAAAACTATCCAAGTGTGCAGTGCAGTTGTATGAGATGGCATCTTAAAGTGATAAGCAATTTAATGTGTGTGTGGAAGATGATTAAATATAAAATCACCTTTGTCTTTAGACTCAATTACTGTAAACGGAAATAAGGCTGCTAATCCTCTTTGTGCTCCTTCAAGCTCTAGATAAATTAATATCCTTGAGATGTCATCAGCATCAGCTAAATGAAATGTCTGTAGATTTTCCTATTCTGTCTGTTATTTTGTATCAGTGCTCGTATAATGTCACCTTTGGCACGGATTGATCGCTTGGAAGAGATTCTGTGTAGCTGATGACTTTCTTGTTAATTTGTTAGTCACTTAAATGCAGGATAAATTATAAAATAAATAAAGAGTAGTATTGAAAGAATTAAGTTAAACAAGTAAGATTTTTCTGGAATCAGGAAAAGCTTAGGAGAAAAAAACAACCCAACAACCATAAACCAAACCAAAAAAGCCACCATCCTTTGCATAAAAAAATAAATGTGATGAATTTCTTAAAGTGTCTTGTTAAATTTTACTAGAAAATTTTATGAAAATTCCTTGAGGTATTTTTCTACTGACTTTCCATTTCTTACAAATACTTATGCCCTTTGTTTCAAGTCTCAATCTTTGGACTCATTAATTAGGGAAAGTCACACATTTACATGTATTATATCTTTCTGTTTCACACCTTTTCTTTTAATTACTGTAGGTAAAAGAATTACTTCAGTTTTTACAAATGGACTTCTCACTTAGGAATGATTGCATATGCAAGTAAACATTTTCAAAAATTATGAAAACTTCAAGTCTTATTGCTAAAATTATTACCATGTAATAAATCTAGGAATTCTTGATTCTTAAAAAGATATTAAATTTGGGATAAAAAAAATGTAACATTAATCTGATACATATCTACTCAGAAGAAGAATTTACAATTAATTTTGGGACATAACATACATAGTACTTTAGAGCTTGTATAAAATACAAGAATTCAGAGACAATACTACCAAAAAAGGCATGTGAGAGTTTCCCAAAATATCTTAGATATTAATACAATCCACTCTGCCTTTTATTTTTTTTGCTGCCTCTTCCTTTATGCTGCTTTCTGCTTGGCACCCTGCTGTTCATTTATTCTCTGTATGGCATGTTCAGCTGATGATGTCTATCAGCTCAGAAATGAGAGGTGGCAATCATACCAGGTAATAGCATATCATCAGAGGCTGAACCACACTAAAAGATTTCTGAAACCACAAGACTGCTTCTCTTTTGAAGTATCTTGTCTTTTTTGAAGCTCAATGGAAATTTTCACGATAATTCTAGATTACTTAATTTTATGTTATTTTTTTTTCAGCTCTTATAGATGTTAATGCTTGTGTTTGTGTATCTTCACCAAAGTAAATTACAGGACACACTTTTTTTAACACCTACTGGAATTTTATTACATTTTAGTCTCTACTGGAGCATATTGTCTAGACTGCTAGAACGGTATCTAACTCAGCTGGAAATCTTGACTTCTCACAGTGCTGTGGTGTATAGTTTTACACCCTAATCAGATGGCCATTTGTCTCTTCTTGCTTTCACATTCATAGCTGAAATATTCCAGTTTCGTAGTTGAAATGCTTCTTGACTTCTTGCTAGAAGTGGCAAACCATTTTAAGGTTTTCTGTGTTTGAGGGTTCTCTTTGTCAGAGAGGTGTCCTCTGATTTGATCTATATTCAGTCTGGATTTTTTCCCCCGATCTCTGTATTTTTAAAATGCTTGTAGTGCCTGGCGATACTTGACCTCCTGTTGCTATCAATAATATGCTGTCCAAACAGAAGTTGCATGGCATAGTAGTGAAGCAGCTACTCCTGTGTAGTTCAGCAGAGCCCAACAGAGGGATCTGCATGATGAAAAGAAGGAAGTTGTTTGAAAACATCTGTATACAGTAGTTTTTAAATATATCTTCTATATGTAGAATTTAATGCAAAATCTCTTATGCTAAGTTTTAAAGAAGCAGTTATACAGGTAGTTCACTTTCAAACATTTCTTACATTTTTCTGAAATAGTTTAAGCTTTCTCTTAGGTGTCAGTGAATGTTTTCAGACCATAATGTAATCCAGATGGTGCTTCTTTTTTCCTCTGTTATGCTTGTGATGTAGTTAGCTCTTTCTTATTATGGATAATAAACCTGCCCTACATACTGGCACAATTTCTTTAAGCTGATGGTTCATTCAATGCTTTCTTCTTAACCCTTTGATGATAGCAGTAAATTTTCTCATAAAATGCAGTTATGGCCAAAAAATTCTAAAATCCAGAATTAATATAAACTTAAGAGTCAGATGGAAGGACTTGTGCTTCCAATATGGTGTGCTGGATGTAAGACCTTTTGAAGGGTCCCTTGATTAAATATTGCCTGAAAAAAACATTTTAATGGAATATCTGTGCTTCAGTTGCAGCTTGATTTTGCCAAACAATTTCATATCAATATTTACTTTCTTAGTACCTGTGTTTTCAGACAGGTAAATTATTAGACTCTTGTGGGAATTGCTAGAGGGCACTAAGTTGTGCCAATATCTGTTTCACACTCTCCCTGCTCACCTTACCCAAAATCTCCTATTCGCACTGCGTTCCCATTGCACAGCTGTGCAACAAAGCTCATAGGCATAGCTGAAGCTAGGGGACTTTGCAGGATGGGTTAAAGAGAAGCCTTTGCACTCTTGTGGATGGAGTGTGGTCACATTTGTTTGTCTGACTGCCGGGGCAGAAGGATGTGCTGGTAGTCAACAATAAAGCTGTGTAGGTAATGGTAGCTTCCTTAATGTTGAGACTCATTGATCTGCTGCAGTCCTTGTGCCAATTCAATTCTCTCAATTCACTAGGGCAGAAATCTGCATTGGCAGGCTGCCTTGCTTGTTCGAGTACTTAAATTATTAATTTCTTGGCTATGGACTGTATGTGCTTCACACAACATAGCAAGAATTCTGCCATTTTTCATCATATTGTCATTTTTGCTAACTATTTGTTATGAAATGTGAGATCTTTATCAATTTTTAGAACTGAAAAATAGCACATGTGTAAACATGCTGTAGAAGGCAGTGCATTTGTATTGAAGGAATGCATTTAGCTTGAGTCTGTGGAAAATAGTTGGTAATCTGCATGGTAGATCTTCATAAACATTATAGTATAAATTCTCTCAAACATTAATACTTCTATAAACTCTTTAAATTACTCAGTTTTGTGCTACATGGGACATCACTATATTTCAGCCTGTGTTTATGCTTAGTCTTAAGCCTTGGATTTAATATTACTTTATATTTTGATAATGACAATTAGTTCAGTGAAAAATGCATGTATTTGTTATTAATTCTGTCTGAAAACTCTGTGAAAAAGATGAACACAGAGGTTCAATCTGCAAAGTTATCACCATTGTTTCATGAACTTCTGTAGAAGAATTCTGCTGTTCTTGAGGAGAGTTCTGCTCTTCTGCTGGAAATTATTTCCCCTTTCTTTTTTATTACTTCCAGGTTCAAGGAGGTAAAAAAATAATTTCCAATTAGGGAAAAAAAAATACATTTTCCCCGAAGGACTAAACTGAGAAGGACTGCTTTAAGCAACTTATTTCTAAATTATTTTGTGTTTTTCTGATTTAAATTTATTCCAGTTGTGTTCTCTCAGCCAAAAATTATTGAGGTTTGAGATGAGCTTTTAAAGCCACTTCCATGGGAAATTGACTGAGTTCTGAAAAGTGTCTGGCACTAGTTTAATATTTTTTCCCTTCTTTGCTCTTGTGGTATTGTAGTGGAAATGTGTCTCTGATTTATCTTACTTTTGATGCCGCCACTCTGGAGATTTTTGACTGGGCAAGTATAATTTTTTCAAAAATAATTAGTTACCTTCTATGAACAGTCCAGGTTCCATAGCAGTATGTTTTTCATATTTGTATTTCTTACCAGCAACTTCTCTTTCATGCCTGTTTTGGTCCCTTGGGACTACAACTTAAACAGAAACAACCTTTTCTTTGCTAATTATTAAGTACCCTCTTCCTCTGTAACTGAATTGAGCTCAACAGCTTCTGAAATTTTAGAAAACAATGAGAACAGCATCACTTTGTACTTCTGAAATCTTTTTTCTAATGTGATGCATTGAGGGGAAGATGGAAAGATACATAAAATACAAGGTGATCTTTTCCACATAGTTTAGGTATTTCATATATCACAACAATTGATTGACAGGCACATGATTAGACTTTCGTATCTCTATGAAAAATGCTGATAAGTTCATGTGACCTTTGAAGTTGAGTATGGTATTTTTTCTCTCCTCCTCTGGTATCAATTCATTGATATGCAGCAGAGTTGCCCTTTTCTTGTTTTGAAGTAATAATATTTTCACTTTACAGTATGTGCTTCCTGTATAGATCATAATTCTTTGGATAAAAAAAAATCTGTTGAGACTTCCATTTATCCTTTTGCATAATACGGTAATGTGAGTCCTGCTGTTCTGCAGGGGAAATAAACACCCAGTAATATGCATATATGTGTACATTTCTTCTGTTGGAAAGCACCGTAAATCTTTTATAAATCATTGTCCTAACCTCTTCTGATCTGTGAATAATAGTAGGAAATGAGTAGAGTATCTTGCACTGTCAAACTTTTTTCTACTCCTAACCTTTTACTTTCCCTATGTATGTGTGGCAGCAGCAATACCAGAAAATGTGATGATGTATTCTTTACAAGGCATTGATTGAGAAATACCTGTTTTGACAAGTCTTAAGGAAACTTTGGACAGCACTGAATTAGGCTCACTCATTTTGCTGCAAAAATAGGAGAGGTTTTTGAAAATCTTTTTTTTTTTTTTCTCAGTGGAAGAGAGAGGCTGTGCTTCTGCTATACAGGCATATGTGGTAGTTAGTATGACTTTTGAAGTCATGAAGTAAAGACTTCCTAGAGAAGTGGTTCAGTGGAATGAAATATTTTAGCGTCATCTACTCTGCTACTGTAAGACTCGGTCTGTATGGTGGATCCTGACAAAAGTTAGGATCCTGGCTGTGTAATACATTGACTGCATCCCCACTTCCTACCAAGACAGGAGTGCTAGAATGGAAACATTTATAAAAGGAAAATTGAAATATATTAACAAAAAGAAATGAAATTAAGTATTCCCTCATCATATAAGATGCTCCCCCCTCCAAAAATGAAATAATCAAGATAAATGCATTTTCTATTTACATGAAACTGTTTTTATAGAAGTTCAGTAGAGCATTTTGACTTATCCTAATTTGCAAATAAATGGTCATTAGAGAAAATTGATTCCTTAAATGTCTTTAGTAGGACATAAGACAACATATGTACAAAAGTTTGCTTACTGTTTTAACACTTTAAACAGCTTCTTATTACACACATGCATATGGTTGGACATACCCCCTTAAACTTTTCAATTTTGATATTTGCTCTTAGAAGCTATCTTGTCAGGGCGGCACACAGGAGATTAATGTCGCTTGCTTAAATAAAAGAACAAGACTGAGCTTTGAGATACAGGCAAAGTGTTGCATTAACTTATTCCACCTCAACTCGTAGCTTTTTCATATATGTTCCTGAGCTTTGTGGTAGTGGGTGATCATTTTGATACTTGTGTAAGGAGGGAAGTTCAGTATGTCTCAGCTACTCTATAGAAGTGGCTGGTGGGTGTCTGGGGTGTGAATACAAAAGAAGGAAAGCTTCTTACAGTGTTGAAAGTTGTCTCTAAATTTGTTTCCTTCTTAGCCGTGGCTTGGACGTATGAATGCATAAGGTAGGAACAAGTTTGAAGAAGAGTAATTAAAATGTTGGCAAGTGCTTTCAAAGGGCTTGTGACAGTGTTTGTGGATCTTCTTTCATTTTTTATAGCACTGGTAATACAAATGAATTTGGAAGAAAAAAAAAGATGCTGTAACAATAGACCATGATCACAGCTTTATATGGTGAAAGGTGCCTTGATGTCTTACTCCCAGTATATCTATTTTTTTTCCTTTTCTGAACATCTGCTTTGTTGCCATGGTGCAATAACATCATTTTTTCATTTCTTTCCTGAACTCAAAATATTTTTATAATTTTCAGAACACTATACATCCATGGCCATACAAAGCAGGATTTCATGGTCTGGTATACTGCAATTGAAAAAGCAGCAGGTACAGATGGTAATGCACTACAAGATCAGCAGCTCAGCAAAAATGATGTCCCTATTATAGTGAACAGCTGCATAGCGTTTGTTACACAGTATGGTAAGTAGAGTGGATTTTATTCAAGCTAAGATCATTTGTATAATACAGAAGCGCCCCCAGCATCAGGTCCTATTGAATGAGTTTATATATTACTTATAGTAAAGTGCCCCTCATTAGCCCTGACATTCTTTAATGAGATGGTGCAATATACTACCACACAGCTGAGAATGGCCATTTTGGGGAAATAGAGCTTGGTAAATGCCCTTTATGGACACTTTTCTATTTTAAATATTGCATTGTTTGCCTTATGAAACTTAGCCTCTGGGTCCACTGCCCCAGTGCAGACAACTCAGACCAGAAAATAAACTCTGCAAACCTGGAAGAGCTGTGATCTGAACACATCTTGGAAGATGGCATTAACTGTGGAGTTGAGTTCAGTCTTAGGGTTCTGTTTTTTCAGTGAAATAACCTGAGGATTAGTAGGTTACCGTTTATTTAAGTAAATTTTGCCAGGATAAGTTTCCCTGATGTTAGGTTATGTGCAGATGTTGTTTGTGTCCCTTTACTACTGCAAATACATGAGTTTTCTGGTGAGATTGCTACATGCATATCAACCCTGTCTTAGGTATAAATCTGTCTGTAACCTCTGTCAGTATGAGAGTACTTAATTTCTATTTGAGTCATTGAAGTTTAACTAAATAACCTTTGGATAGGGCACACTGCTCTATTGTAAATAGTTGTATTGGGGTTGCACCTAGTGCCTAAAAGTAAGGAAAAAAGCTTTTGCTAAATTATTTTTAATTATTAGCAACAGAACTCAAGTTTTGAAAAAGAAAATTTTTTACTACAGTAACATATGCAGTGATTAAAGGTAGTCATGACTTCATTTTAAGCTGTATGTTTTCTTTTTAATTTTACTTTAGTGGGTGGGTTTTTTACATGTAAGAATAGTAGCTGACTGATGTCTTCAAAAACATGAGAAAAATCAGAAAAAAGGGTATTTTCTGCTACTTGAGGCTTTTAAGAATAAAATATTTCAGGTTGGATGAATGCAGTAATACTTTGAGTCTTAAGATGAGTTCATCCATAGAGTAATAAAATAAAAGGAGTTTTCTCATGAAAGCAGCTGTGTTTTATGTGCAATATAATATCTATCATCAAAAATTCTTCTGTTTACTGTGCCTTTTGAAAGTGCTGTTTTAGGAAGCCCTGAAGGGATTTGGGGATTTGAAGTGCCTGTAGAATACTCTTGAAATAGTGATCCCAGACTTGCTTACTATTATGATGAGTATTCTTGCAAAGAGGTCTAGTTGGGTAGAAGAAGACTTGGCAGTGTTTTCACTAAGAAAGGGAGTATGAGTGAAAGATCAGAAAGATACTGTTACGAAATGCAACCACATATAATTGTTTGGCATCCACATATAATTTTTACATAATCATGTCTGGAATTTTTGAAAGAATACTTAATTTTGCGTTCATTTATTTTTCTCTCCTGTATTTTTGTGCCTTAGGTTTAGGTAGCAAACAAATCTATCTTAAGAATGGTGATTCGTCCAATGTGGCTGAACTGCTGGAAAGCTTCAAAAAAGATGCAAGAAGTGTTAAACTAAGAGCAGGAAAACATCAACTTGAAGATGTGACAGATGTACTGAAAAGTTTTCTTTCTCAAATAGATGATGCACTTCTGACTAAAGAACTTTATCCATTCTGGATCTCTGCATTAGGTAAGGTATTTAATAATATTCCATACAATAAAGGTTATATGTACATTTTCAGTATCAAGTTTGAGGGACTTGTTAATTTACTTACCCTTTGTCAACCCATGTTATTTCATAACTGGCAAAACAAGGTAGTGAGGAAAAAATATTTGGGGCATGGCTGCAATAGACACATGTTAATAAGAGATGATTTTTAGAATGTCCTTTAAAATGTTAGTTTCTATATTGCAGTATTTGCAAACTGCAAGAAACAAGTTTTTTCCCTGCCAAACTGTGCTATAAAATTGCAGGCACAGCAGTAAGAGATGCATGGGAAATGCTGACAGAACGTTAGTTTCTATCTGAATGCATAGGAGTCACATAGGCATATTTCTGTGTGGCACATTTTGTCTTTATAAAGAGATATTAAAGCATATTCCTCTTTGATTTTATGTAAGTTCAAATATATAGATGTTGCTTTAATACGAGCCACTAGACTTTCAAGAAATTAAAATGTTATCAATATTAGACATTTTGGACCTTTAAACTCAATTTCAAAGACTAGAGGAAAAAGTATTAAGAGTTTATTCACTTACCACATGATTAATTTCATCAGAAAACAGAAGTTCTGAGGCAGTTTAGATTTGTCAGCTCTTTTTAATAGTGTTGCAGTGATTCCCCTTCCTGATCTGTACACATGGCTAAAATTCTACTTCAACTTTACAACAGAAAATCCTGTCCTGTTAAGTGATACAGAAGGTACTTCTTGGAAGACTAAAATATTTAAGAAAATGGAGAAGAAGGCCTTTAAACTGTTGTTTCGTTATTTACTTTTTCTGCCAATTAGCAAAGAAATCAAAACACAGTCAGTAGTTAGTGAAGAGCACCATCAATCAGTTAGAAGATTTCTGTGCTTTCTTTTCAGAAACTTGAGAGAAGCAAGGGACTGAGAGGGAAAAGCTAACTAATTAAATGCACTCTACATTAACTTTGTGTATGCCCTGAGCATAAGGGGGCAGCAGAGGAAGGCAGATTTAAGGTAGAAAACTGTAGTTGTGTTTCAGACACTGTCATTCCCAAAACTGGAATTCCTGCCATTGGCCTTGCCATTGTTCAGCTATATGTAACTTATTTACCAGCCCTTTCCCCTTGTTCTCCTCTAATCAGTCTTATATATGCTTAGATCCTTAAACTACTTTGTGCTCTCAGACACTTTTCCAGTAAATATTTAAAATACAAATAAGTCTTTTCCTTTCTCTTTGCTAGGAACTCTTATAAATACATTTGCACTTGTGCATATGGAGTTGCACTCACACATGTACATCCTACAGATTAAATATACTTGGAGAGAAAATGCAATTGCTGTTCTGGCCTTAATCTTAAACAGTGGCAAATGGTGCTTGAATGTAGAACTGCCTCTCTTTGTTGGTATTTCCCTGAACTGGTGTACAATAGTAGACATTTTTAATAGTATATTTTCAGCATTGCCTTTATGAAGAAGAGGTTGATTTGGTAAATAGTAATTTTAAAAGACTAGATGCTGCTGATATAGTTAATGAGAACTGCTGTTGGTTTTTAGTGTGCATTGTTATTAATGCTCAATGATTGTTATTTCCTGACAGATACGCAGAATGAAAAGGAGCGTGTGAGGAAGTACAGAGCTTTTATTCAGAGTCTTCCGCCAATCAATAGAGCAACTTTGGCTGCTTTAATTGAACATCTTTACAGGTCATTGCAAATAGAGCATTGTAGCAGAGAAATTATTGTGATGTGTTCTCAGTATAACTCTACAATATATGAAATGTGGCTTGTTTCATTCACCAGTAATCACAAAAGCTTATCTAGTTGCAGCAGTTAATTGCATTTGAATTCCTTTAATTGATAATGTGTTTTTTCTTTGGTTGTATTTTTAGCTGTAGATATCTATAAAAATCAATGTATTGGAGCAGCCTTACAGGGAGAGAGGGCTGCCAGTGTATGTGTCCAAGTAGGGTAATTTTTGATGTAGCTTCTTTATGCAATTTCATTTTACTCCAGTCTACTAGTCTTCCAGAGAATTGTTGCAAATGGTTCTTGAAATTAAAATATTTTTTTCAGTGAAAATGTCCTTCTCCACAATCTGTTTTGCACATAATAACTTTGAGAATTACCTACCCTTCCTGTTTTTCATCAGTGCTTCATTTAACTGAGGTAGCAGTAGAGGATATCCAAAATACAAACTTGTTTAAGCACCAAAGGTCATGACTTATTCCTAGATCAAATAAGGGGCAGAAAATTTGTAAAAACTATTTGACAGGATGATTCTGAGGTGTCAGGGTTAGATAGTACTGGTCTATGGTATATCATCTATTGAACAAGTCAAATTATATTTTTGGTGAATTGCAGTGAGTATAGAATAGGTAGAAACTTCTCTTTACAGAATATTGTGTTTAGAAATTATGGTACATAGCCAGGTACATTGCCAATGTAATTAAAAATATTTATGTGATTATGAAATTGATTGGTGGCATTATTTGGATAAAGACTGTGCTACATATTGTGTTTAAGAAGTTTCTAAGCATGTCCAATTAGAGATACTAATATGATGGTACATCTGTTCTGAAAGTAGTATGAATTCATGCATTTAATGGCCAAAATTCTGTGCTAGTTTAAAGTGTTTGCCTCTAAAAAAAGACATGTTATGTGAACAACAGAAGTAATATGAAAACTTTACTATAGGGATAGGAACTAAGAAGGACCTAATTTCTTTCCACTTTTTTTTTGATCTTTGATCTCAAGTTTGTAGGATATACTTATATTACATAATACAGTGAAACTGGTTTGGCATTGATTTGGCCTCGCCTGGAGCTCTGTGTGCAGTTCTGGAGTCTGCAGTTAAGGGATGTTAAGGTGTTTGAATGTGTCCAGAGGAAGGAAGGCAGCAATGCTGGTCAGAGGGCTGGGAGGAATCACCTGTGGGGAGTGGCTGAGGACTCTGGGCTTTTCTGCTTGAGAGAAAAGGAGCTGAGGTGTGACCTCATTGCTCTGTGCAGCTTCCTGAGGAGGGGAAGGGGAGAGGGAGGTGCTGATCTCTTCTCCCTGGTATCTGGTGGTAGGGTGAATCATGGAAATGATTCAAAGCTGCATCCAGAGAGGTACCAACTTGTCATTAGGGAGGATTTCTTACTAAAAGGGTGGTCAAACATTGTAACAGGCTTTTTAGAGGGATGGTGGTTGACCCAAGCCTCTCAGTGCAGTTGGACAGTGCCCGTAGCAACATGCTTTAGCTTTTGGTCAGCCCTTAAGCAATCCAGCAGTTGGACTAGATGATCAGGTATTCTAACTCAGGTATTCTATTCTGGCTTTATTGTTTTCTATTCTAAGTAGTTTTGATATCACTTGAAATGCAGCTAGAAAGTTTTCATTTCTGTAATGAGAAATAAAGAGTATAAAAATATTAAATAAATAACAGTACATGTTTTCATTGTATTTAATGTAGTAACCTTTTTTTTAAGTGCTCTCCATATTCTGTAAAGGAGCCTCAGACAATCAAAGGAACAATGAAACTATCTAGATATGTTTATTTTTCCTTCAACAGAGTGCAGAAGTGTTCTGAAATTAACCACATGAACCCTCAGAATTTAGCCGTGGTGTTTTCCTCATGCTTATTTCAAACTAAAGGCCAAACCAGTGAAGAAGTCAATGTAATTGAAGATCTAATTAAAAATTATGTGCAACTTTTTCATGTACGTATCTTTATATGCATCCTAACTGCTCAGATGTTAGAGATTCAAAAATATAAAAATCTGCTTTAAAATGGTCTTCCTACTAGTTCAACAATCTGAGAATTTACAGGGTTTTTGAACTCTAATTCACTGGATGTTTTTCTTGTCCTGCTTTAAATTTTATTTCCCAATTAGTTTAACCTGTGTAGGAAGGACTATTTATGGGACGCTGTGAGCTACTGTTTTCCAAAATGATGCTCATCCTCCTTGCTGGCAAAAGCTTACTAAATTTAGGATTTTTTTAAATTATGACTATTAAAAATACTGCTTCTATTCAGATTTTATAGGCCTGATCAGAACTGAAGCATAGAGGGATTTTGTGTTCTTAGTCTCTGAGCTGTGATTATAATTTGTTTTGTTCCTTAGACCCAGAAATAATGTTAAATCCAATTGGATAGAAAAGCTACTACTAGCAGCAATTCATATTAGCCATTTTGATTTGGAGTTGACTGTGCCACTATAACATTGTTCTGCAGTTTTTCATTGATTCCTCTCTATTTCAGTACGTATTCCATGAAGTTTATAATAATGAGTTCCATCAATGAAGAGCTATTTCTGACTGATAGAATATTTTGCATGCCTGCTTCTATGAGAACATGATTGATTGTATTGGCAATTGTTGCCATAACTGTTATTAATCACTCCAAAATTATTTATTTATACAGATAAATGAAGACCAAGTCAAACAAATGGACATAGAAAACAGTTTTATTACCAAATGGAAAGACACTCAGGTAAGTTAGGCATGGATAAAAGGGAGTGAGGCCCTAGCATCTCTGTACATAGGTGTGGCTGCTCTTCTGTTCATCACTGAGACAGCGTCACCCCAGGCACTGCACAGATGCAAAGTCATGCTTGAACCAGGTGTGAGATAAAGTGGCTCAGCTCACCTTCTTGCTCTCCCCATCAGTTCTCCCCAGCAGTTTGCCACAGGCTTCCAGTTAGGGTTAAAAGTAATGATGTGGTGCAATTGAGTGATGTAACAACAGCGCTGTAATCATGTCAGTGTCATGGGTAATTGGAAACTTAGGCCTCAAGCAGCTACAATTAAGAATTATAAGAATTCTTTACATTTAATGACTGAGAGTCTGACATCATTGCATCAAAATGTGTGCATATAAGTGGGAAAATCAGTGATGTAGATACTTAGTACTTTGGAATATACAGGCTGCCTCAGTACTATTATCTCTGGTTATGCAGAGTGTTCAGAGAACAACGGAACTGAATTTCTGCTGGATTCCTCAAAGTTCACATGTCTGAAATGTCACTGAAGTTCTGTTCCAGGTGGCACTTCATTAGTTGCTTTTCATTTTCTGTCCACCATATACTTATGCCAGCTGTTGCAGTAATTTACATCACATTTTCTCTCCATACGGTTGTTTATGTGAGCCCAGTGGAAATCATGTGTCAGCTTCATTCTTATTTCCAACCTTTTTCTGTAATATCATCTGAAAAGCAAATTTTATAACTAAATGAGCCTTTTTGAGTCTGTGCCACTATAATTAGGCAGCTTTCTTCAAAGTAGCTTTGTAATGCTTTTCCTCACAAATGTTTCCATTAGTTTTCTATTCTCAAAGACTAAACTAACTTAAAAGTTGCTGGATTTCAGAATGTGAATGTTCTTTAAAATTCAGCACTCCCAGTTATTTTTTCTATAGAAATGTAATCTTACCTTCTGTAAATTGGTCAAAATGTATCCCAAAGCTGAACTGTTTATATATATATATATATTTATATATCTGTATGTCAATATATGTATGTTTCAGTATATTTTTTTATCTTTTCCTTTGTTTGTAGTAGTATATAAATAAGTAGCATCACTATCAATACCATTCTCACAAAGGAAGACAAAAATTGTTGTCTTAGTGTTAATTTGATTATGAATTCTTTGTATTTGCCTATTAATAGAATGGTACACCTTGTGGTAGTTCCTGTTTCTGCCTTAATTTTTCTTCCTGTGCTCTGATCATCACTTATTTTTTAGGAAATATTTTTTAGTGCTGGACTGAGATGAATTGCAATCTTTTGAAGATGCTTATGACTATACTAAAAGGGAATTAGAGCAGGCAAAATGTGAGACATTTTTAACTTTAGAAAAATAAAGTAATTTCTCATCCATGAAACTAATTTTATTGCCATAGATGAGCAAACCTAGTTACAATGGAAAATGCTACATATCCCTTCTCATAAATCATTCTTTTTGTCGTGATCATAAAATGTTGGATTTACTGCCTTTCTAATTTCTTTCTGAACTTTTTGTTGTTAGACATTCTTAAATAACATTTGTTAGTCTTGAGCATATGAAATTTATATATGTTATAAATTTGCTTTATCTGATTATTCCACATTAGCATTGTGTGCACAGTCTAGCCTTTTTTCCAACAAATTTGAAGAGCTATATTTAACAGTGGTTGATATCAGGAGCATTTGTTTTAATTCCTTCTTTAATTAGGTAATGACAAGTTTTCATTGTGATTAAGAACCATAAATACACTATTTGTAGTAATGGATTTTTATTTTTTTGATATGTACATACGGCTGCATGGCTGAAATAGTCTGTTATTTGTAATTTTTCATCTCAATTTTAACTAAGTCATTTTGGGGTTACAGTCTTTTTTCAGTGTTTTAAATTCTGTTAATCTGTTTTGATTCTGAAGTGAACCTGACTAACCTCCAAATGAGAGTTATGGGTGTGGCAGTTTAAGATACTGAGATACACTCATTCTTAGACTTTGTAGTCTTAAATGTAAATTTAAAATTTCCACTTATGCCATGTTGCCCTTAGTTTTCCTGCACTTGGATGCATATTTGTAAATTAATGTTAATTGTGTTTGATATGATTCAGTTGGATTTATTCAGGGTTTGGATTTTTCTCCTGAATCTGTGAATCGGTATTTTTTTCCTTACACTAGTTAAATAATTGTATTCTCCTCGCTTAAAATGTTTATTTTTAACAATCAAATTTTTTAATTCTTTCTTTTTAGGTTTCCCAGGCTGGAGATTTGCTTATTGAAGTTTATGTGGAAAGAAAGGAGCCAGACTGCAGTATTATAATCAGGGTTAGTGTATAAAAATGATACAGTAATTTTTATGACACACTTTTGCTTGAAGAATATCACATTTATTTTAATACATGTTTTTGTATAAGTACACAATGAAAGTATGAACTTATGTTTATCACTGTTCTTTTAAACACTTTAAGAATTTGGTGTGTTGCCTTAATTATATAAAGACTGATTATTATGCATTTTTGCATTTTTGAGAGAAATTTTAAGAAAAATGATACAATTTTAAAGCAGAGGTGTCCTGCTTTAGTTTTGCTGTGGTATGCAACAGTGTAAATTCTCCCAGCTCTACATGTGCAACACATGAGAGCATTAACAAATACACAATGAATGTTGGCTCTATTTAGAAGTTACTAGCATTAAAGTGACATTCCACCTTTCTTTTTGTCTGTGGCTTTCTTCTTTCTTTGAGTGTTAAGAAACTAAAGCTTGTTACTAGCTATAATAGAGATTTTTGAGCTTTCTATATAATAGTGTATTTAAACACCTGCCTCTCCATGTAGTGGTGTTCTGTTATTTTTATTACACCTCTCTGGTTTTGTTTCCTTTTTGTTCAGCTCAGCATATGGCACTTTTGTTTGTACATATATGGGGTATGTGATATACATAGATGGACATATACAGATAAAAAATGCTTTTAAAAATAGGAATAAAAATAGCAATACGCATTGCTAAGATAAAAAAAATGGTTCTTCCCTAATATGTATCTTCCCACACTCAGGAAAATATATGAAAGCTTTTTTTTTTTTTCCAATTTTTTCTGGGATAGAGAAAATGAATTTAAAGCTACCAAGTTAATAGTCATCTTAAAAATATAACTTCTATCTCATGAAAAAGAATAAGGAAAGCCTGCTGGAATCTGATGGGTATTTTGTGGGTTTCCAGCTCAATTTTTTTTCCCCCTTTTTTGTTTTCCCTTAGGGAAATTGCAGGGAGGAAGACTTTGAAAAAATGTATCAGAAATCAGTAATTGAAATGTATTATAAACTGACTCACTTTGTATTACAGGTATCACCTTTGATGGAAGCAGAGGAATTAACTAATGATGTTTTAGGAATCAAAAACATTATTCCCAGCAAAGATGATATCTGGGCTGCTTTTGAAGTACTTGAAAATGGAGAATTAGGTTAGTGACTCTTAAATGTATGTGTGTCAATCAGCTTTTGTTATTTTAGTTTTTCAATACTTAATATCATCAAAAGTTTAGTTAAAGACTTTATGAAAACAAACAAAAAATAGCCTTCATGCCAATGTTTTTCATTTGGTTGTATTGGCATCTGCATGACTTCTTTCTTCACTTTGCCAGAAATGATGTGATGAATTGTTTTAAACTACTTATAAGTTAAGGGCTGAGAAGGTGTTCTTCATATTACAGTGCTTTGCAGTTCATTAATCATCAGCTACAGAAAAGTAGGTCTTACCAGTAAGTCATATTGGAAAACCCTATTTTCTTAAGAATGTCAGCACTTGATTTTACAAGCAATAATGCTTTCCAAAAAATTAAGTGAGAAAATACATGTCATACTTAGGGGAAAGGATCTTTTCTATTTTGCTAATTCAAATGTTTAATGTACATAGGTGAATAAAGGAGGCATAAAGTATGTAACTCTTTACACACTTTAAAGTGTGTTTTTGGCAAGCGGCGTTATGGTGTATGTAGCAGAATCTTAAATAATTTGTTTGAAATATGGTTCTGTTGCCAACAAAAGCAAATGTCACATGGCCACAATATTCATGAATGATAAAGAGGCTGTAACATTGGGAATACTTTATACATGCTGGAGCGTGTTTAAAATGCTGGAGAATTTTCTTGATAGAGATAACTAAAATAATGTAAAGTAGTAGGAATTTTGGTAATTTAAACACATTTTGATGAATATTCCCTGAGGTAATCTTATGGAATTTTTTAAGACTACATGGAGACAGAAATAAGCAACATCTATTTGCATTTCCTAGTAAGTTTCTGGTCTTAGCTATTTCCATGTTGCAGAGGAGGACTGTGAACTTGTTTATTTCTATAGTTAAGATACCTGTTTTCAAGTCAAGAAAAAAAATAAAAAAGTGGACAAAATAAGATTACTAAATAGTGTTCTAATATTTTTTGTTTGTTTTGTTGTATTTGATTTTCAGATGTGCTTACAATAATTCTTTCAGTTTTACTAATACTACTTATGTCCTTAGTCTTGACCCTGGCAGTATAAAAACTAGGATGGAAGTTTATTCTCCCTTTCAACTGAAAATCAGTTATCCTGAGCCTTCTTCACATCTTACAGTCTGCTGGTGATGCTGTACAGAGATGTAATACAGAGTTTGTTTCTAGATTCATAGATGTGGGTGACAACTGACAAAGAATGCTAGCATCTCTTATCTTTAGAAGAGTCCTGATAATTCCTGCAAGTGCAGTACAAATCATATTTCTTTAGACGGAATAACAGAAAAACATTTGAATTTTATTTTCTTAAACTTGATATATCGACACAGGAACATGCAAACCAAACTAGATATGGCCAAGAGAACATTAAAGTAAATAAACAGATAGACCCCACAACAGCTTCTTCATGCATTTAGGTGCAACAACTACTGTTTCAGTGGGGTATGGAAATGTTGTCTGAACTAATGACTATAGAAGAAAAACAAAAATAAGCTAAGAGTGAGACATAGGGCCCTACATAACACAGTAAATATGGGCAGGACATTAGAGTGTAATCTACTGAAAGAAGAGTTTCCAACACAAAGTGAAATGGCACACCAGTGTTTTAAATCCAAAACAACCAACCAAAAAGCAAACTAAATTAAGTCCTAATTCATCACGTGACTCCTGTCAGTAGAGACTGTGTTGATGAAATGTTTTCTTCATGGATCCCTTTCTGGAAGAATCAGTGCATCAAAATAGTGAATTACTGTTTCAAAATAAAAATAATTTTGTAGTAAGGAGACACTCAGGTAGACTCCTTTGATCCTATGGCTGAACCTAACAGGTTTGCAGAGGGGGAGAGCACAGAGAAAATTACTTCTAGAAAATATTTGGTCCGAATGTGACACTGAAGAACTAAAAGACTACTTGAGTCTTTGCTCCTGCAGGTTAATTCTACTAGTGTCATTTGACAAACACCATGAGGCATTTACAAATTAGTTCAGATAGTGACACATAATGAAAGAAAAAAGTTTGCATAAATCTTTCAAATGTACATCAGTAATCATGGTGTCTTTCTGATAAAAATTAATTTTCTGCATCTGCATTTTTTCCTGGTGCGGTCTGCTACCTGTCCAGTGCATGGTGGTATTCTGCTTGCTACACTGAACCCTGAATTTTTTTTTTACTTTTTAAGTTTTTATTTTATTTTTTAATATATACTGTCAGGAAAACAACCCCTGAGAAAGCAAGAAAATTAGAATAATATTTTATAGAAAGTCAGTTTCTAATAATAGTTAATGTTGTTTAAAGTGAAAATGACTGGTTTAGAACGTTTACTAGCATATGATGACCTAAGTGAAAGAAAGGGTAATCAAATGTATGTGTTGACTGCTTGCTGTTCAAAATACTAGAATTGCAGTATTAAAAATCATCTAAATTATTTGCATGTAGAAAAGTTGCAATAATTGAAGATTTTATCAAGCCTAATGCAAAATATTTAATACCATATGCTTTTACAAAATAGGATGTATATAATTTTTTTAATAATAAGTGATTGATGGATAGTTTGTAAATGAGGTGTGTTACCAGTAAAATAGTTAATGGTTTTCAGCATGATGATTTATGTACCATGTAATCCATGATGACAGATGGTCTTAAATGTAACTATAAATAAAACAGTAGGTGTTTACTGTGAGAGTGCTGGTGTTCTAGGAAGATGTGGTGATTTGCCAGTCTCTTGCCTCTGATTTTAAAGTTCTTCTTAAAGAGGATTTTCTCTCTTGTACAAAGGCATCAAGTGTTTAAGCTTTATCACGTTAAAGTCCAAAGTTTCCCAAAAATTCAGAAGTTTTACCATTTAAAACAAAAGGGCCAGAAGAAGTAGTGATAATGAAATAGGGGTTGAGCTGCTATCTACCAAATGGTATTCTTGTTAGGCTGCTTTGGTGTCATATCTGAATAATGAAATATTTGTATGGGTGGTGTCACAGCTTTACAGGTAGCGTAGGTAATTTTGCATCCCAAAACAGCAGTGTTTTTTTCTGCCGTGAAAGTTTGTTATTTGTGGCTTCTGCTTTCTGAGGCTCTAGTGTTCAGGTGTTCTAGAAAATGCCTTCTGCTAGACTGTAGTGCTGGAGAGTCCCCAAGCAGCTGTTGACATTTCATATTCATCTACTGTAGCAGGAATGAAAAATGAGATTATGGCTGCATACTTTGCCCTTCAGTACTCAAGGGATGTGGCTAGACTGTGTGACCCAACATGACAGTGTCATAGGGGTGTGACTTTTCAGGAGCCATACCCATCTCTTCTCAAGACCTGACCCAGATAAATTGGTTTGCAAATGGGAACACAGATCTATTGGAAAAATCTCTCTTTGGAGATAAAATGATATTTGAACCCACAAAGCCATTGTTAAGGCTTTTGTGGGTTCATGAATTACAGCAGGTGCTTGCTGCTGAGCAGGTGAAAGCCTTCAGGGATGTGAGTGTGTCTTCTCCCACTCACATCAGTTTTGCATCAGGCTGTGCTGTTCATGTGACACTCAGATATCTGCTGGATCTGGTAATGCAGATTTAGGGACAATTTGCAAGATCTTTTCTGCCTTCATTTGGTAGGTGAACTGGGGTTTGTATGGAATGCTGGCTGGGCTTTCTTATGACTGCAGTTTTTCAATTCTGTGTAGGTCTCAGTGTTTCTCTTCTAGGATGGATGGTGCCTATCAAAAATGTGTGTTTGAGCATCTGAAGTTTTGCAGTGCACACATACAGTCTAGTCATGCCTTCAGTGGTAGTTTAATCTTGCAGTACTTTTTGTACAAGATTGAAATACACAGGTGCAAGTTTGAATATTCCCTAGCCACTGCAACAGGGAGATCTAGTAAGACCACATGCTTTTCTCCTCTAGTAAAAAGAATCTAATGAAACCAGGAATCTGTTTCAGTCTGCTTTGATCAATAACAGACAGTATAATCCATACCAATTGGAGGCATTTTTTTTCACTGTGATCACTCCAAATTCTTTGGTTCTTTGAATGCAGAGAATCGGTAGTTATGATGTTTCATTTTCATACTGAGCATAGGCCAGTAAGGCACAGTATAGCTGGAGGTTTCAGTTCTGTTTGATCATATTTAGGCATGTCCTGTAATTGGTCTTAACTTTTGTCTTTAGTTTGAAAGCAGTGCTTTAGTGTCTTTACATTAAAAAATAAACATTACAAAAGAGTCACTGAACATTTGGCTACTGTTTGTTTAGTTTTATATTCATTACCTGTGCAAACACTGCCAGCAAAGGTATTGTCAGTAAAGTGCCTAATTGTCTTATTTTTGAAAGCAGTATTTTTCTTCTATAGTTCAAAGTCAGTGAGACCTTGTTGTTTACAGACAAATGTAACTTGTGAGGGCCTCCAATATTGTTGGGTTTTCTCTTTTATTTTAATTCTAGTTTTTTGTGTTTTGTTTCTTTGGCATTTTTCAGAACGTCCTCTGCATTATACAGAGAATGTACTAGAACAAGTTCTTCACTGGAGTTCACTACCAGAGCCTGGCGCTGCATATCTAATAATAAAGAGATTTCTAACAACAGACATGGTGAATCTCTACAGTGGTATGTAATTTTTTTAAAATTTAGTTATTTTACATGGAAATATGAGGATGGCAATTGTTTTCATTGGAGCAAAGTGTCCCAGTACAACTGAATTACTGCTACGTCATTAAAATTGCAGATTTACAGAGGGTTGTGGTGACTCCCTATGGAAACACAGAGAATATGGATGTTTGTTTCTACAAACTATAAGCTCTCCCATTGAAATATAAAAGTGTACAGAAATTCTGCACTCAGTTCACACTTTGTGAGTTTCTGCTGTGAAGCTTGAAACTGCTCTTATCTAGGTCATACTGTGGGAATATATTTATATAACTATGGTATGCTAATAGAAATTTCTATTAGCTAATTTGATGCCTCCAAACTACAAAGCTAATTTCACGGAATCAGAATATTCTGAGTTGGAAGAAGCCCAGAAGGATCATCAAAGTCCGGCTCCTTGCCTTACACAGGACAGCCCCATGAATAACACCTGTGCCTGAGAGTGTTGTTCAGACACTTCTTGAACTCTCAGTCTGGTGCTGTGACCACTTCCCTGCGGAGCCTTTTCCATTGCCCCGCCACCCTCTGGGGGAAGCTTTCCTGATATCCAACCCGAGCTTCCATTGTGGAACTTAAGATCATTCTGTTATCCTGACACTGGTCACCACAGAGAAGAGATCAGTGTCTGCCCCGCTGCTTCCCCTCACAGAGAAGCTTTCGACTGCAATGAGGCCTCCCCTCAGTCTCCTCCAGGCTGAGCAGACCAAGTGACCTCAACCACTCTTTATACTTGAGGGCTTCCCCTCAAGGCCCTTCACCATCTTTGTTGCCCTCCTTTAGACACTCCCTAATAGCTTTATAGCCTTCTTATATTGTGGTGCCCAAAACTGCCCCCAGCACTTGAGGTGAGGCCGCCCCAGTGCAAAGCAGAGCAGGACAATCCCCTCCCTTGCCCAGCTGGTGTTGCTGTGCCTGATGCACCCCAGCCAGGACAGGGTTGGCACACCTGGCTGCTGACTCACATTCAGCTTTCTGTTGACCAGGACCCCGAGGTCCCTTTCCATGGCACTGCTTTCCAACATCTCATTCCCCAGTCTGTCTGTACATCCAGGGTTGCCTCATCCCAGGTGACATACTTATGTGAATGACATACTCAAGCAACTGAATAATTTGGAGGGTATGTGGCCTTTAGAAGGGACCTAACACTTAAAATACAGATGAAGTATATAGTGAAAATATACAGTTTAAACATTGCCCCAGTCTATTTTTTTTCCATATAACACCTGGCTTTAAGTCCCCTGTGTAGTATGTATTATCTGCTTTGCGAGAAGTGGAAGTTTGGGAGTTCGAAAATTATATCCTGTTTTCAAGCAGTTGAAATCCTGTGTGCTATGACTGTATAATGTGTGATGGTAACACATGATGGCTGGTTTAATCTTTGTCTTATTTTATCTAATGACTCATTCAAATATATCTATCTTTTCCTCTCTTTCTCATATATGGAAATGTTAATCTTTCCATTCTATATATCTCGTCTTTATTTCAAGAAGTAAAATTTATGCTAATGTGCATATTCTTCTGAAAATAATGGCTTCTTCCTCCATGCTTTATTCCTGTAAAAGTATATTTCACAGATGTGAACGAACCTGAACAAGTGTGCTGTTCATGACTTTTATGGTTGGGTTTCACTGTCAATAAATGTGTGATAGCAGATCATGAATGGAGAGAAATGGCCTACTTCATTAAAAGCTTGATATATGAACTCCCATCATGTCACTAGATATGTGTTGAAATCAGGAGAGGGAATGGGTCATAAGGGTTGTGTGAATCACTGCTCTAAGAAACACATAAAGATTAGGCTGGTGTCAGTTTATAAAATGTAATAGAGATCTGCTGCTATTTGCACTCCTAGATTTTGCATCCATTTGTTCCCCCAGCTTATTACAGTAATGGTTTGCATCAATTCCATTCAGTTTGATGTTACTGTAGACACACTGTCTTTTGACTGTTTATATTTAGTGATTTTTTCAATGTTTGTTTTAAAATAATTAAAAGTTTACCAAATGAATTATGTTGGTTTTCTCAGTGGCTTGAAAAGGAAGATTTCTGCCATATTGCAGGCTTACAGTGTTGATGTCTGCAAACTCCATGTGGCTGAGTAGTCTTGTGAATCCATCACTACATAGTGTCAGAATGAGAAAATATGCACAATGAAGTTACTGGGGAAGAGATGTTCCCAGTGTTTAGGGTACAAGGTACTTAAGGTTATGGTGGGGCTCTCCATCTCAAGTGTGCTGGAAATAACTGCTGGCTCGAAGGAAGAAGGGGAGACCTCAATCTTTTCTGTCTCTTACACTCTATATGTGGATAACTCCTTGTCACTGAATAATAGGGCTGGGGCCAGATGTCCAACCACTATGATTTGAAGTATGTTTTTAAGAGTGGATTCAGCCCATACGAATGGGCAACTGGGTGGAGGGATGTCCTCCTACTTGGCAGTAAAATTAATAGGACTTTGATAATTTATTGCTTATAATTTAATTCCATGAATATTCCTTGCTTTCCTGATTTATGCAATAATCTTAAAGGCTAATTATTATATTCCGGACTATTTTTTTCCTGTTAATATTACTTGAGAGATTTTCATTCTCAGCACTTTTCTCCCTTTTCTTCCTGAGTCTATAATGTTGTTTGAAATAATGTTGGTTCAATAGTGAGCATAAGAAACAGCTCTTTCAGCCTCTTTTCATTTTGGCAGCTCATCACAGTCTTCTCTGTCAGTGCAACTTTTCCCATGCTCCTTATACATAGTACATTCCTGATTTTGATACTTATTCTCATCTTGTCCATTTTAAACTATTTTCTCATGTTCTGCAACTGACATGAGCTCAGTTGTTCAGAGCAGGGTGCTAATAATACTAAGGTTGTGTGTTGGATTCCTGGGTAGGGCATTCACCCAAGAGCTGGATTCTGTGATCCTGGTGGGTCCCTCCCAACTCAGGCTATTCTGTGATTCTATAATCCAAACCTTACACTGAGGTCTAGGTGTTTGTTGTCTCTTGTATAGAAACCAATTTTCCTTTTCAGGGAAAAAATAGTTAGTTTATTTGTATTGATATGTTTCAGCAAATTTGTGGTGAGTTTTCAATTTTATTGCAGTTTTTAGTTGCTAGTTCCTGATGATTAATTCCATAGCTTTTCATGCTTGCTGTAGGAGCACTCTTTCAAGTGCTACTCAGTAGGGCAAGATGTGCACTGTATTTTGGTATAATAGATACTCAAGGACAGCTTAATTCTATTTCAAGACCCCTTCTCCTTATGTAAAAATTTTTCATATTAAAGTTTTATTTGTTAGAAAACCAGATATTTTTTATTTGTTAAATTTACTATCAATTCTGTGTATATAGGTCCTTGAAATTTTCTCAGTACAGTGTTGTATAATGGGAGTGGTAAGTATTGATTTCTGAGAACAGGGGCTATTATTCAGAGATATTCTTTGAAATGCAAGCTTCTAAACCATAGGTGGATCGATCCTCCATGGATTAAGTGTACCTACTTCCTAGCTGCAAAGTTCTGTCAAGTTTAGCATATTTTGTAAAGTTTGTGTCTGAAAAATACATTCTGATTAGGACACATCTCTATTGTCTTAGTTTTATTTAATGAAATGCTGGCTTCTAAAGTATATCGAATATCATCAGTTTAGAGAATTATTTTCTTCCTCCTTCAGGCTATTCTAATATCTTTGTAAATATCAAGTATTTGACAGATTAGCTGCCATAGGAATGCTGTGAACTTTAGAATGAGTTTTTGTCATGTTGCAAGCTGTGTGCAGAAATGTAAAGTCTTCCAGCTTGGTAAAGATGTGGAAGTATCCTGCAACTCTCACTAAGTACTCTGCTACTCTCATTTTGTAGAGTTTAAAAAAAAAATTAAAAAATAGAAAAAAGTGGTTATGATTGTGTGGATAAGGATTCATATTCTATTCTGTTCTATTCTAAGAAATAAATATTCTTGTCGGCAAAAAGAGAATCAGGTTTTTTTAAGTGTGCACATATATTTGCACTTATAACTGAGGACTTCTAAGTAATTTCTGATTTTAATTGTTGGAGTGTATTGATTCTAGGTTTAGATTCTTATTTTTTGATATTTTACCATGTACTGCTTCTTAATAATAGAGTTTTGATATCAGATGCTCAAAGTCTAAGTGGTATTTTAATGAAAAAAGCCAATTGAGTACTGAGGTAAGAATGAGCTTTTCAATACACATTACACCCCTTTTACATCACAGTTTTATTTCTTATCCTGAAAATAATGTAGCACAAAAGCTAGTGGTATTATTCTGTGACTCCTAAACAAGTTGGTTCAGTATTTCCTAAGGTAGGTACAGGAGGTACCTACACTTAGCTAAAGATAATAGGTGGTGAAAGCCAAAATATGGCATAAGTGGTATGCTTTTAGTGTTTGGGGGTAATTATTAGCCCTGCTAATCTGGCTCCCTCTTCAAGGTGAAAAGGTGTTGGTTGAGTGGGATGGAGGAGAAGGCTGCATCTGCCCACCTGCTCTCTTCTCATGTCTGCAGTCTGCCTCCAGCACTGTTTACCTCAGGGAGAAAAGCATACTTCAGAATTCTGCTGAATTCTGTGTTCTGTTATTAAGACAGTAGGAATTACTGTATTTTCCTTTGTTTTTCCTCACTTTAACTATTAAGGTGCCATTTTAGTTTGATTTTCACTTCATGTGCATGAGTCATAGCAGCATGGCAATGACTGTAATTATTGTTCAGAAGTTTTTGCTGGGGAAGGGTACTTACTGGGAAAAGCTGACAAAGTGGAAAAATGTATGGATATTGAGCAGAACAGGAAACCTGAAAATACCTAAATCTAATTTTTATGGAAGTGTTTTGCCTCTCAAGCACAGAGATTAAAAGTATCCATGCCATACTCTTGGTATTAAGTACACGTTATATGCTGAAACTATTCTTTGAATTAGAGTTTGTTGGTAGATTCTTTGCATGTTATCATACAAGTGAAACAGAGAAGACTTTTTTCCCACCAGTAATTAAAATAATAATGGTGTGAATATTTAAGAATGAATGTAGAATTTATGAATGTAGAATACATTAATGTGCAATATGTATTGAAATGTAATATTTGTTGTATATGTATGTGTGTGTATTAATATAATATAATTAATACAATTATTTATGTATATGTATAGCATAATACTAAATCAATTTTACCACTGTAATTTTAATTTTTTGATATGCAGTAATACTTAAAAACTAGAAGCTTCTACTGTTGTAAAATCCTCTAACAAAATGCTTTTTTTTTTTCTTGGTAGAGAAAAATGAGAAAGGTACTGTGAAAGCAGGCAATCTGAAGTACAAGGAAGAGCCATCAAAACTACTGTCTGGAAACAAATTCCAAGACCGTTACTTTGTGTTGCGGGAAGGAAACTTGTTTCTCTATAAGGATATGAAGGTACAGCAGACAAACTTTGCATTAAGCTTTCTTCTTTGTTTGAACAAGAAAATATCAACAAACAGATCAACATTTCTCATATGAAATGGCAACTTCTAGAATCTGGGTTGACGTCTAAGATTTTTGTCTTGCTGTTTCACAGATGTCTTAGTATAAGGAGTTTCTATGGGTTCATCGTTTAGCTATTGTAGTTATGCATTACTATAAGCTTAAAAATTAAAAAGAGAACAATTTTTGGGTGCTTTGTGCTGACATTAAATTATTTGAAAACCTGCTGTTGAAAGCTGCAGCAGAAGTAATATGGAACTTAAAGGAGTGCATGCCATTTTTTTCTTGTTATTTCACACAAAGCCCTTAAAAATTCAAACAACAGGGTTCTTATGCAGGCACGTCTCATGATAGAAGAGATTATAGGAAACAATAACTCTCAATACACTAGGAAAATATTTCCCTGCTTCCCAACAACATTTTTCAGATGTATTCTCAGTCCTCTAAAAACTAGTATGGATAATTAGGTTATGTATACTTCAGAATTCCATAGAAGTGAATTTAGTCATGATTAATAGCAGGAAGGGTGCAGTTTTAAATATTTCATGGGATTTTTCTTAAAATAGTGGATTTGAGTGTATGCAGCTTGTGTTTAAGTATAAAGCCAAATAATATTAATAAAGAACTGTGTTTTAGTTCCAATTATTTCTGGTTTAAAAAAAAAAATCAAAGTTTCAAGTGGTTTTATTTTTGCTGACTGCCGTTTTTTTCCCATCCAAAAAATACAGATGTATATTGCTGACCTTCCTAAAGTACTTTTTTAAAGACATATCCCTTGCTCACGTAAACTAATGCACTGTGTCTTCTTGTGAAGCTGTGGATACAATCTTAATTAGAATGACCCCAGAATGTCACAAATAATGTCTTACAATTTAGTGCTAAAACTCAAATTGGCACATATGTGAGAATAAATTAATATGCCCATAAAACCTTAATTAGTATCTTGGAAAGAATTTATGACAGGATTGTTTTACCACTTTATAATCTCCTCTTTTAAGCCATTCTAATTTATAAAAAACTTTAATTCCCCAACTCAGGAGGTGCTTTGAACACTTATTTTGAAATTAGTTTTTCTAAATGCAAATGGCAATACCATTCTGATCAAATAGTATATGAGTTTGTTTTACATTTTTTGAGAGATATTAATCTACCATGAATAATCTTGGTTTAATTTTAGTCATATTTAGGAATGAATAGTAGGAACGCTTGACATTGCAGATGGAAAATTGTAGTTAATAAGGCCACACGTGCTAATTAATTTATAAATTCTCATTAATGGCAAATTAAATTTGTATATGCAGGTGGAGATACATTCTGTTCAGTGTTTCTCTTGTTCAAGAGCAATTATCAAAAACATTGAAAGTTTCCATGAATACTGTATGCTAAATTGCTATATTGTGTTAATTGACTGAAATAATTTACCCCTTTAATGTTCTGTTGCTAAGAGATAAGCTCACAGACAAAAAAAATGGCTCCCTTAAGGTGCATTATTTTGAGAAGGATGCAGTTGTTTAAGTTAATAGTATGTTCTGCAGGGGTATTTTTTTATCCTGGCAGTACCCTTCTTTTGAGCAGGAAGTTACACAAGAATACCAACCATAAAACTGTTGTGTGTTTTCTTGTTTTTTAAGTTCTCTTAAGTGCCTCTTTTTTCCCCGCATTGGAGTGTTAGAAATTGAAAGCTATAGAATGGGAAATTGAGAATCTAGGGACAGTAAACAGTAGGGAGTAGCTTTGTGTACTGGGATTATAAGATTTGTTGTTTGGTGTAGTTTTTTCTACATTGAAAGCTAAGCCACTTGACCTAAAAGTACTAAAGGAATGCTTTTGTGTTGTGTTAAATATTTTTCTCTGTAATAGTGTGCATCTATTGTTTCCTTTCAGCACTTCATCTTCCAGTAACATTCAGTTCTCACACCTGTGGGTCTATGTCTACTGTAGATTGACTAGAGGTAGTTCAAGAAGGAGCAAGCAAGGAACCTCAGGAGATCCTTGTCCATCTTCCTGTGCACAGCAGGGATAGCAGCTGAGGTCAGGACATGTTGTGCATGGCTTTAATCTGTTAAAGTCTTCGAAAACCCTGAGGACAGATAGCACAACCTTTCTGGGCTTCCTGTTGCAGTACCTGACTGTCCTCATGGGGGAAAGTTTGTCTCTGCTTAGATGTAGTCTTCTCACAATACAAAATACCTCACTCAGTCTGCTTCAAAATTTCCCTGTAGGTGCTGGGGGTCTGCTCTTAGTTCAGCCTCTCCTCCAGGGCAAGTGCTCCAGCCCCCCGATGGCCTGGTGGGCCCCTGCTGAGCCCTCTCCAGATTACTGATTCTCTTTTTTGTCTCAAGGATCCAAAAGATGCAGTTACACAAATAATAAGGAAAGGAGGAGAATCACTCTCCTCCACCTCGTCACTGTGCTTCTGCTAGCTCAGGAAAGCGAGACCACCTTTGCTGTTAGGATACTCTGCTGGTTTATGCCCAGCTTGGCACCTGCCAGCACGCTCTGGTCCCTATCAGCTGAACTGCCTCCCCCTCTCTGTCATTCAAAGAGTTTGTTCCTTCACCTGTGCAAGAGTTTGCGTTTATCATTGTTAAATTTAATGAGATTCCTGTTGTTCCATTTCTTTGTCTTGTGAAAGTCCCAATACTGGTGTTCTCCCGGAACCAGGTGGATTCCTTCTATCTCACTGGGCTGCCCTTCCTGAAGAGACAAGGAGGAACAAAGCCCTGCTCTCCCATCCCCTGTCCCACAAAAGTCAGGATATGTTATCCAGAGACTTCTTGTTGTTCAAAGACATGATTTGCTTTTTTTTAATCTTGATTTAGCGGCCCTAGTGCCCTAATGGATGAATGGCCTAATGGACAGTGCCCCAGTGGCACTGTCTAAAACAGGGATTGTGAGCTTGAGTCAGTCAGCAAAGCTTCACCAAGGGCAAGTCCTACCTGACCAACTTAGTGGTCTTCTATGATAAATTGACTATGCCAGTGGACAAGGGAAGAGTTGCAGGTGCCATTTGTCTGAAATTCTGTAAGGCCTTTCACATGGTCCCTCCATTTAGAGAAAAGAATATTTAGAGAAATATTCTTTTCTCTAAACTGGAGAGGGATGGAATTGATGGAGTGGACTGTTAGATGGATAAGAAAGTGGTTGGATGGTCACATCCAGAGGGTAGTGATCAATGACTCAGAGTCCTGATGGACATCAGTGACATGTGGTGTCATTTAGAAGTCCTTGCTGGGATTAGTGCTACTTAATATATTCATTAGTGACACAGAAAGGGGAATTGAGTGCTTCTTCAGCAGATGACACCAAACTGGGGGTGTGGTTGATACACCTGGGGAACAGGATGCCATCTAGAAGGGCCTGGACAAGCATGAAAAGTAAGCCCATGGGAATCTCTGCAGGTTTAACATGATCAAGTGCAAGGTGTTGCACCTTGTTTGGGTCAACTCATGATATCAGCCCAGTCTGGGGGATGAACAGACCCAGAGCAGCCCTGCCAAGGGGGATTTGGTGATGCTGGTGGGTGAGAGGCTGGACATGACCCAGCCATGGGCACTCACAGCCCAGAGAGCCAAAGGTGTCCTGGGCTGCACCCAGAGCCCCGTGGGCAGCAGGGGAGGGAGGGGATTCTGCCCCTCTGCTCTGCTCTGCCCTGGTGAGACCCCACCTGCAGGGCTGCAGCCAGCTCTGGGGGCACAGCGCAGGAAGGACATGGACCTGGGAGGGTACCAGGTCAATCAGAGGGATATGGAGCACCTTGTCTGTGAAGGAAGGCTGAGAGACCTTTGGAAAAGAGACCTACTTGTGGCCTTCTAGTACCTGAAAGGAGCCTAGAAGAAAGATAGAGACAGATATTTTAGAAGAGTGTAATGCAGAAGAAAAACAGTAATGCCTTCAAACTGAGAGTAGGTTTAGATTGAGTATTAGTCTTTAAAGTCCATTCCAACCCAAACCATTCTCTGATTTGAAGAAAATTTTCACCATTCCATAGAAGAGGTTATTTAACAGAGAGCAATCCCATTTCCCATCTTCCTGTCTCTTGGAAGAGTTTGTGTTCATATAAAGCACCACATCTTCATTTTTCTGATTATGTTACAGTTTTGTGATTTCTTGTGAACTTTAAATTCTTAATCAGTCTGCTTCCGGTAAAAGTGACTGGTACACTTTGTTAGTGGCAAAGAAAGAGATAAAATATTTTAATGATTTGCTAGAAAAGAGGGGTGCACTCCATGAAAGAAACCGAACTGTGAAATCAGTCATGTGGCATTTTCTCTTTGGCACATTCCTGATACAATAATTAGAATCTTACTTTATTTGCAGGCTAGCAAACCTGAAAAAGTGTTGCCTGTCAGTTCTCTGAAGCTTTATCTTGGAGTGAAAAAGAAAATGAAGCCACCAACAAAGTAAGAATAGAAAAGAAAATAACACAGTGTAAAAAGTATTGTAGTATCATCAATAAAGGGTAGCATAGAACATTGTGGAGCAAAGAAAAGTCAAGAAGCCTATAGCAGTATACTGAATTAAATTATCCCCTGTAATATTATTTGTTCTTTTCCTGTATTTGTTTTCATGTTCCATGTTAACTAATCCGTGCTAGTAAATTACTTTATTGATTAGCTCTTTGTAATCTAAAGTGCATTTGTTATCTCTTGTGGATATGGTTGCTCCTGGCTCACTTAGTTTTGTGCTATGTGTCCTGCATGTCATTGGTGGACACACTTTCCTTGCACCAAGTAAAAAGAGAGAAGAGAAAACCAGTTAGTCATGGCCCTTACTGGCAGTTCCTGTTCAGCAGAGGATTTTCCTTTTTCAGGATCTTTGTTATTTTGATGTTTCTGCTAGCTGAAGACTACAGTGCCCTTTACAAACATCAGTGACTATCTCTCAGGAAAAGAGCATTGGGAAATAACACCTGTTTTTCTCAGATGTTTCCAGTTCTTGTTCGGTCAAAGCTTTGAGATACTGAGACAATGCACATAGGATCTTATCCCAGAGGGAGTCTATGTTGACTGTTGCCTTTAAACAGATCTGCTTGAACTTTTCCTTTACAGTTGGCAAATGAAAACACCCCAAAAAAGTCTGTGAATTTCAAAGCTTAGCCATGTTACAGAAATCGTTGATAGGTTTGTGGTTTTTTTAGCATGTTTTTTTTTTTAATTCAAGTGCAGAATGAGTAGGAGATTAGTCCAAAATAGGAGTAAAAAGATTATGCAAATGTGTCTTCGCAGGATTTTTTTACCTTGAAGTTTATTTTTAGTCTGCTTTCAAAAGAAGAGTTTACCTAATCTCTTCTGGATCTCCAGAAGTGTCTGTTTGTTTCACCTCAGAGGCTTCATTGTGCACCCAGTCCCTTTTCATTTTCCTAGTAATTATTAAATCCCTATAAAATCATGTGATTCCTTTTGTTTACTGTACAAGCATAGCTCTTTTCTCTCTGTGACTTCTACCCTGTAGTGGACTCTTTACCTGACAGTTTTATTTCCAGCTCCTTTTAAAAAGCACAGCCACAGCAAAAAATGTGGCAACTAGTCAGCTGTCATCTGGAGTGTTTTACTATAACCCTTTGTCTAAAACAGAAAGGTCATTAACTGTGAATCAGTTGTAAGAAAATTAGCAAAATCCATCCTCAAACCCACAACTTTATTCTGGATTTGCAGTACACATTTAGACTTCGCAACTTTTTTTTTTTTTTTTTTTTAATTAAGAGGACTGTATAAAGGTAATTAATCTCTGTGTTTGAGGAATATGTCCCTGTTTATGGAAGTAACTTTTGAAAATCTTCTTTCTTTCAGCTGGGGACTTGCAGTATTTTCTGAAAAACACCAGTGGTAGGTAAACATGAAACGCACACTAGGTTTAATTTCTCTGTCTAATATTTGTTGAAATATTGAATTGCAAAATAAGAGTATTTGAAACTAATGGGCATTATTTTGCTTTCATGTCAATTTTTGGTTTTTTTTTAAGTGAAGAAACTTTCTTAGTCGGTATGTTTGGTTCATGTTTTGGGTTTAAACGTCTGACTTCCTTCTGTGACCAGAGAGCAAACAATAGTGATAAAGTTAGAATGAGAGATTTTAATCCTGTGCACATGCTTAAAATGAAGCACAGGCATTGTCATCAAACTAGATAAAGTGATAATTTGAAGTATTTATATATGCCTATTTTTTCTGGGAGTGTTAATAATAAATATAGATAGCATGAATGAATTTAAGTAGTATTTGATGTAGTTTTGAAGCCTGTTCTTTAATGTGTGTAACTGTAACTGGCATCTCCATTGCTTTTAATATTAATTGTGTATTGTGTTCTAGGTATATATGTTGTGATGGACAAGATGTGCAGATGGAGTGGATGATCAGCATTTTTATGGCACAGGTAGTAATCTGATCAGAAAATGTAACTTATTCTGCTGTTATAAAAATTCCATTAAATATGTATGTATTATATATAAGGTTCAGTGTCAAAGTTTCTGGAATACTTCATGAAATTAAAGTGCCAAAAGATGTGTCTTAGTCCATGAAGACTATGAGTGCTCTGAGAGTAATAACATTAGATTCTGACATCATCTCTCCATTCCACCCTACTGTGTTGCAGAGAAGCTTCGTAAAGAAGGACAATTATTTTTTTTCCAGAAAGCTCTTGTGGGTGAAATTTTGGCCACTGACATAAAGGGTGTGTCTGTGTGCCACAATACCTAAGTGCTATTTCTCTGCTCACTAGTTTGGACGCTGCTAAAGTAGTGATGAAAGAGGGGTGTAATGCTTAAAAGCATAGTGGTGTGAACTAGCCCAGTTGAAGAGCTGTGCTAATATGGCTTTTTTTCTCTGGTATCCAAGTTTGTTTTGTTAACACTGACAATTCATTGTGTTGGGTAGGTTTTATCCTGAATTAAGTACTCTTCTGCTTGATATGAGATTGTAAGAAAGGTGTATGTTTGAGTGGCATACAACACATCCTTGGAAATGGACTTCAATGTTTGCATTGCGGAAGTGGAAGTAAGCGAGATGGGAAGAATTTACCCTGACAGGAGAGTGGAACATAGTTTAAGGTTTTAACAGGATTTTGTCTGTGTCAGATTTTTCTTTTTCCCATGATGTTCAAGGAGCTTTGCAGGATATCACTGTGCATAAACATTGCTAGATTTATGATTACCTGGGAGCTTTGTGTTGCATAAAATAGGCTGAGCACAAGACTGTTGAAATACAGACTTAGTGACTTCCTAAAACAGAATCTGACTTTCATAGATAGTAGTGCTAGAAGTATAATGCATGCCTTGAAAGTAACACTTACAAATTCTTGTCTTATTCAGCTCTCTTAACTGAAATGACAGTTGTTGTTTCTATGGAAACAGCTGGCATACATCTCATGGGCATAACATGAGCAGTGTCACAGCAAATAGGCTCAGAGGTTATTGATATAGGAAACTTTGAAGTAACTCATGCAAGGTTGGTAACTGTTGAAGTCCTTTTGACATAAAATCACAATGAAGGACAGTCTTACAATTCTGCTCAGGCAGATGTACAATGTTCCTTTGACAATATGGATAAAAAAATGGGAGCCAATGCTCACTGTCCAGGATAAATTTTCCTAACAGAAAAGAAGATAAAATCACTTAATGTACATTTAAAAACATGCTATGAATTCATAATGTTAATTTAAAAACTTTATTATAATGAATGAACAGTGCAATGAATTAGCAGTACTACATTGAAAGGGTTTTTTGGTTTGGATTGATTTTTTGTGAAAATTCTTGGGTTTTTTTTTACAAGTGTTCTGGACATCAGTAAAGTTGTCAGTCTATAGACTACATGAGAAGTTATGTGCTAATGATGCAGATGCAGATTTAGTATATTGTTCTTACTGCAATCTACTACTTCATTACAGAGAAAATTTCCTTAAGAATGCAATGCCTCATATTGGTAAAATTTGCTGTAAGTTCTCTAAAAAGTCTTGTATCATACAGCAGCAGACAATTATTACCACATTATCCCATTTCTAAACCAGAAAACTGTAAATGTCAACTGAGATTATTTCTAGTTAGAATTTTCAAGTTGAGACCATCTTTAGGGAAGTCAGCTTGTTTTTTTACTGTATATGTTGTCATGGTATTTGAACATACATGTTAGAGAAACTGCAGGCATCACATCTTTGTGAGTGGAATAACTTAGACTAGAAATTGAAAAATACTGTAAAATTGGTTTTGAAGTGTTAAGACATTGACATCTAATGATTTTGTGCGATTAAGAGGGACATAAACCAATATTACTGCATTCCTCAGTGCTTGAGCAGACTCAAGTTTTATTAGTAATTAATATCAGTGAGATAACAGCACTATTACTGTTTTTTTCCTGGTGTCTGATAATGTTTGTTCCTGTAGTATAAATAGTGCAGAGTATATGAATAGCAAAGTGTATGTACCGCTGTAATCTAGGTACAAGAGTACTTTGATACAGGCCATCAAGTTAACCCAGCGGTTATTAATCTTCCATTTCAAACTGGTACATACTAAGTGTTTGAAGTAGGACCAATGTTTCTTTCAGTTCTATGCAAAACCATCCTGAAAAGCAAGATTCTTGAATTCTATAATAGTTCTGTACAAAATCTCTTAAGAGCATGCATAGCATTCAGTTGGAAGTAATTAATTTGTATGAAGATGGACACAATAGTTTACTTCCAGTTTCCTTGTCTTTGATCAGCTGGAGGCACATTATACTACCATGAGGTGCAGTTGAACAGAGGGGTCAAAGCTATGAATAAATACATTTTTTATGTGGCCTAATACGTTGCTGGTATTTCTGATATACTTTCTCAGTTCTATTTTAAGAAATGTTACAGGCACAAAAGGGAAATCAGGCTGCTTAGCTGACAGTGATGGTTTCCTTAGGCTTGCTGGGATTTAAGGCAGATAGTTTTCTTCAGAAGCTGATTAAAGTTTCTCCATCACTTTCTGGATTGTGTTTGTTTTATCTTGATCCACAATAAACTGTTTTGGTCGGCGAGAGCTGCTCTTTTAGATAATAATTTCTCATTTCATTGAAAGAAAATGTTCTTAATGGAGAGAACTCATCACAGACTTTTACATCACTCTAGTCACACCATGTGTGAGAATTTTTTACTCCATCTAGATATGAGTCTATAAAATACTTTTTCTAAATTTGGGGCAAGACTTTCAATTTCTAGTCAGCCATCATGAGTCAGTAATCACTGATTCTGATGGGTTTTATTGGTAGTCCTCTTTTTACTTGCCGACCATGTGCAAGTATGATCATAGCTCTTCATAGATCTCTGCTGTTTTTTTAAATATGATCTTCAAGAGACTTGCTTCATGGATTTGCAGTCCTGGCTTGCCAGTTTCCTTCGAAGTTTTGCTGATTTAGCTGTAGGCCTTGGTTATTCTCTTTGGTTCACAGAATCTCATGTTGATGATTTTTTCAGTAAAATCATCTTGAAATACCTTATCCTCAAATCTGTCTTTATGGTTTTTATTAGCATTACTTGAGGAATGTGAGCTCATGTGCTAAAATTTGAAATGTTCAGTAATATATGGTTTTTTACTTTCCTTCTCTTCCCAGTCTAGTTTTTCACTCAGAGTGAAACTTCACATTTTTCCCCAAAACTGACCTATTTCAGTTGAGCTAAAGCAAAGACTACTGTTGAAACCAGATCTGCCTATTTGTAGATTGTGTTTTGGATAACACATGTTGTTATCATATGTTAATTTTATGATAATAATTTTCTCTAAATTATTAATACAAATTTTCACAGAATCACAGAATCAATTAGTTTGGAAAAGACCTTTGAGATTATTGAGTCAAAGCTATGACCTAACACCAGCTTGTCAACCAGACCATGGCACTGAGTGACACGCATAGTGTTTTCTTTAAACATCTCCAGGCATGCTGACTGGTGACATTCCAATGTCTAATCACCTTTTTGGGAAGAAACTCTTCCCAATATCCAATATAAACCTCCCCTGGTGCAGTTTGAGGCTGTTTCCTCTCACCCTGTCGCTGGTTGCGTGGGAGAAGAAGCCCATCCCCACCTGGCTCCAGCCTCCTTTCAGGCAATTGCAGAGACCGGTGCGTTCCCCCTGAGCCTCCTTTTCTCCAGCTGAGCACCCCCAGCTCCCTCAGCTGCTCCCCACAAGCCTTGTGCTCCCGACCCTTCCCCAGCTCTCTGTCCCTTCTCTGGACATGCTCCAGCCCCTCTGTGTCTTTCTTGCAATCAGGGGCCCAGAACAGGACACAGGATTTGAGGTGTGGCCTCCCCAGTGCCAGGTACAGGGGGACAATCCCTGCCCTGCTCCTGCTGCCTGCACTGTTGCTGACACAGGCCCGGATGCCATTGGCCTCCTTGGCCACCTGGGCACAGCCGGCTTATTTCCAGCAGCTGTGGATCAGCAGTCCCAGGTCCTTTTCCAGCCACTCTGCCCCAGCCTGTAGCACTGCCTGGGCTTGTTGTGGCCCAAGTGTTGTACCCTGCGCTTTGGTCTTGAACCTCAACAAGAAACACATTTTTAAACGCTTGCACATTGAGGTAATTTTATCTTATTTCTGAAACTTTTGTTGGGACTCATGAAAGTGTGCTTCTGTGAAATTTTGAAATTGTGAAACAAGTCAAAATGTATGTCGTGTTTGATGATATTTTCTATTTTTTTGAGGATAATGAGAATGATATTTAGGAAGGAGGATGTTTGATACATGACAATTATACAGAGACATTTTGGTTCTTTTCACTCAACATTGTGCAGCGCTTATGAAAAATTAACATAGTATTAAGCATCATAGTGTTTTTCCCTTTCTCCCACAATAGGAGGGCATGGTATTGTGCAGTATATAGCTTTTCCCAAGGGACTTTTGCATACGAAAGAATCTTTTGTATTTATGAAATTGTACATGGAAAATAAGGAATAATTTTTTTATTCAGCATGCAGATATATGGCCACCTGCTGGGAAAGCAAGAAAACAATCCATAACTAAAAGTCCAAAGATCAGAGGCTTACCACTAATTCCCATTCATCAGGAGAAGAACACTTGTAAACTCAGAGGGAATACAGAGGTAAGTGGGATTTAAACTTGATGTAGAACTTTTAACCACAATGCTGTAATAAGTAGTCCAGTAATATTGAACTCCCTGGAGCTGGATAAATATAGAATGCAGATGTTGTTATTACCAATGCCTCTTCCAATATTTTGTCATTAAAGGAACATTTAGGACTATGTAATGTAAAAAAGGTATTGTAGTCTCAAGTTGCATAACCTCTCTGGCTGTTCAGTAAATCATAATGGACTTTTATTTGTGCTTGGTTTTTTTTTTTTTTTTGTGAGTAGAGGTTGTTCATTAGGAGTAAATAAGACTTTTAGCTGGAAATATTATGCATTTTATTGCAATATGGGTTTTATAATATTTTTTTCCTCTGTCTAAAACAACTGCGTGGTTTTAGTTATCTGCTCTGTGAATATAATGGAAAAGCTCAGATGGAACTAATGTTGATACATTTAAGTTATACTATTATTATTCTCAAAGAAGAATGAGAAGCTTTAGTTGCAACTCTTTGAATAGAGTGAGCTTTGTTACTACATTACATGCACTAGTGATGTATCTGAACCTTATCATATTAATTAGACATTACTTTTCTGGTATCCACATAGAGATACTGATGCCTGTGGGGAGAACTTGAGATGAAGCAGTGGAGGCACTGTTCTGCTTGGGAATAGTAGTGGTAACTAGCCTGACTGCAGCAGTGTATAACTGTTGAGAAAACACCTTGGTCCTTTGACTGCAGTACTATCATTTCTTGCACATTTTAGAACATTTTGAAAGGAGAGGCTAATATGGGATGTGTTATCACCACTAACAGAGATGGTGGTTCAGGTACAGAATGGTAAAGTTGGCTATTTCCATAGTAAGCCAAAAGCAAAAGGCAGGCAGAGTGCTTTATGTAAAAGACAACTCCATCTTGTGTTACACTTTCTTGCAGAAAGAATTTCTGCTCTGCCTAACTACAAGAGTGTAAAGCCATGTGAATATAAGTATTTTGTTATTTGTTTATAAATTTTTTTATAAATTTGTCTTTTTTAACCTTCTCTCAGAAAGTATTTTTGCAATCTTTAATAAGTTCTTTCTGATGCTTGTATTTTCAAACCTGTTTGATGAAAGTAATCAGGTTAACACAATGCATAATGAAAAATAAAAACTAATGCTTTTTTACATGGAAGGCTAAAACTGGAATGAACAGTAGAATAGTGGTAGAAAGTATATATATGATACGGTTTATTAAGAAGAAATATTTGACCCCAGTGGAGTCAGTTCAAAAAAATGTACCATTGGGAGACCATGCCTTCAGTCTTTCCATGAATTTGAGTACTCTTCCAAGAATATCTCAGTTTTAAAGCATTAGAAAGTAATATCATGAACAAGCATTTTCTGAAATATGCTGGTTTATGGAAAATGGAAGTCTATTTACAGATCAATGTGTAAACTTGTAGTAGAAATGTCATCAATTTGTACAGGCAGGAAAAGAGACTGACAGTTTTCCAAACAGTGAAAAAAGTGATATCTGAGAGAGAAAGATGACTGAGAGGGAGAAAAACCCAAACCACTATAAGCTCAAAGATACCCAGAAACTGAGTTAAATATTAATATTTTTTACTAAAATGTCTATATTGAATGACTGATTTTTCCTCATCATTGGAAGCAGTTTTATTGAGGGTTAGGAAGACAAATGTGTAATACCAGGTTTGAAAGGAATCCTAATAACAAACAGAACCAAAACATTTTGGTTGTTTCTATACCTCTTGTTGCACATGTGGACAGTGCATTTGAAATATGCATATTTAAAGTTATATAGTTAAATAACATATATATATATATATATATATATATATATAAAGTTAAATAACATAAAGTTATTTAATTGAAATAGAAATATATTACTGTGTATGTGCAGTAAGTATTTGATTTTATTTCAAAATACAAAAGGCTGAGGAATGAGGAAAAACCTTTTCTTTCAAGCACGATCAGATAGCATACTGACTTAGAATAGGTCATACAAGAAAGGCCCAAACCATTCTAAATTCTGTGTATCTAAACTAGCTTCTCCCTAGTGTTTGAGTAGTTTTTAATGTTTGTTTTAACATTTAGGAGGTATTAAGATTCCAAAGAACAAGTTGCTCATATGCTGTGGATGAATAACTCCAAATGAATAAAAAATGCAGTCAAACTGAACAAGTTCCACACAGGAAATACACAAAGACCCAAAGTCTCTCTCAGCTTTCTTCACGTTCTGGTTGTCAAGAATGATGCACACATGAAAAAAAGTATTCCAGGACCTAATTTTCCTTTAGAACTACCCGGGTTTTTCAGAAAAGAAATGTTCTACCTACTGCTGCACCACCTGAGTAGTAGAATACAATAAAGCAAATTTAGATGCAGCATCTGGTTTAATTTTCTACAGCTTAAGAACTTGAAAACAGCCCACCAATGTCAATTGAAAAAGAAGCCAGTCTTTATAACATATCAGTTAGTATTTAACAGCTGCTGAAAGTTTTTATTTGATTGTTGAAAACTATCTCTTGTATATTGGTGATGCTCAGTCATTATATTATTAGAACTGTAATATACACAGTTGTATTAATTCCACCAAACAAGTCTAGGTCTTTAAGAGTGTAGGGATCTGCTATAAAATGCTAAAACTTAGTCTACTGTGGTAGAATGAAAAATCAAATTGTGATTATATGAAAATAAATCTTCATGTCCTTATTGGCATGGTGCATGATTTATGTAAATTTCAGAAGTATAGCTAATTGAGAATTTGCTCACTAAAAATGATTACTAAATAATAATATGACAATTGTGGTAATTTAAAACTAACTTTGCTGTCTCAGCTCTTGGGTAAAATGAATTTTTTTTCTTTAAAACTTATGTGAAGCTAATGAGCAAAAATTGCAATCTAAACATTTTTTAATATGATGTGAATGAACTTATTTCTCTTTGTTTGTTTGGTAAGAATATAGAACTACAAGCTGGAAAATCAAGATTTGGTGAACATCATGATAATGAATTTCTGGAAGAAAGACAAAACTTGAAAGAAAAAGCATCTATTGTGGCACAGTGTTTGGAAAGAAAAGAGGAGAAAGGGCGAAATCATGCTAAAACACATCGAAACTTGATTTCTGTGGATGATGCAGGCTCAGGGATGACTGAATTACACCAAATACCACATAAGACATTGAGGAAAAATAAAAAAAAAACAAACAAAGCTACTTTGGAACTAGATAGTAAATTGCCATCAGATGTGATTCAAGAACTAAATACAGTGCTGCAGAAGAACAGAGCACTTAATGAAGCCTCCAGCTGATTTCCTGAGCCCGAAGTGTAATACTTATATGTATATTCTTGTGTTATACATGTATATATATATATTTGTGTATTTTCTGTTCAAAATAGTCTGCTTTGATGTGTCTAGTTTGTACAGTGCAGAGGAAATAAGGAAATATAATTTGTTTATATGCAGCTATTGATTTTATATATGTGTATACCCCATGTTATAATTGACGACTGAACTGGGAGAACTGATTATGTAAAACTCCTGAAGTTTGGAAGTTTTTCTGTGCAGTGCAAAGACACCAGATTTTGGTCTATTTTGTTGTTATTTGTTTCAGATTTTGTTTGATACAAGGATTCTAAGGACTGCCAAAAGCTTTTGCTGTTTATACTCTGTACCACTTTGTAAATATTGGGGAGATATTTTAAAAGACAAGATATATTCTGAAATTCATGCTATGAATTGGCCTGCAATATTTTTAATTGTCTAACACTCTACAATTAGTAACTCTGATTTTAAATTAATTTTTTTGTTGGTTTTTTTTTTTTTGGTTTGATTTTCTTAATTTGTGGTTTTGTTTTTAAGGAGAAAATTAGTATTTGCTTTCACAGAATTGTCCTCTGGCAAGGCCTCATGTGAAGAAATCAAAAGAGAGAGAAATGTAGTAGATGACACAATCTATTAATTTTTGTATTTTGAATATGTCTCTAGGGTGTACATCTGATTTTTACATCTAAGTAATGAGACTAATAAGGAGGACAAAAAAACGTTTTCCAAGCAACTTATAATGGGTACGTGAATTGGAAGAATTGCACTATCTCAGTGGGCTGAAGTACTTTTCTAAACAGGCCTTGCTCAGCTCAGGGTAACAAAGGCAGGCTATTCTATTGCTCTTTGGATAGAGCTTGCTTGGTGCTAACAAAGTTGCTGACCTCCCATAAATATTTAGTATTTAAATGAGATGTTAATTCCTTTAAGAAAAAATGGTGCCCACAAAAACAAATCAGAACAGTACCAACACACCAAGTGTTAAGGAGGGCCAAATCCTAAACAGAAGAAGCAAATTACCCCTCTCTTTACTGTAAGGACAAAGGTAATAATATTCTTTTTGCAGGGACTAGCAAATGCTTGCCCTACAGCTTTACCACTGCTCTTCTGAGTTCGAGGGCTGGTCCCAGGGTTGAGAGAACAGCTTCCCTTGCTGCCTTCTGAGTATGTAGGTAGCAGTCCCTGAAGATAGTCATGTAGCGCACTACAGCTACTTTCAATTTTAGCCCCAGAGTTCCTTAAATATAAAATTCAGCATTGCTTTTCAAAACGAAACCTATTCAAGGAATGAAATTATTTTGTTTTGTAGATTTTATCTTCACTTATCCTTTGGGACTGGTGGTCTGACTTTGTTCCATGGCACCTGGAGGGGCAGAAGGCACTGCTGTGCTGAGGCTGTTTCAGGTGTTGGAGATGCTGTCTGGTTAAGCAGCAGGAATGACTCTCATGAGCTCACAAGTCACTTTGCTTCAAAGGAGCCATTAATAAGGGCTTCTGCTTGTTTTTGCTGCTGTCCCTTTTGTTGTCTGACTAGTCAGACTGCCACAGGTTTTCACCAGCCTTTTAAGAACTTACTGATGCCTTTAGTGTTTGATTGGAATTGGCCAGATCTCTTAGAGTAGGAGAGAGAAAGCACAGAAGCAGTATGCTCATTTACTCCCTCTTCTATTTTTGGTAGTCACAGGTGCCCTAACATTTCTCACATCATTTACTTCTATTCCTGATTACATTGAGCAGCTTAATTGGAAAAATAATTTGTTTGATTGAAGAAATTATACAAGTGACTCAAATAATGTATCTGGCAACTCTGCTAGGAAGCACAGAGAAAATGAGATCAAACTCAAATATTTTATAGTAGTATTTATTACTCTAGAATGTAGCACTGACAAAGCAAGTCTAGTCTTTCAGACTTTGCACCTACCTTATTTGACCGGTTGTTAAAACTGAAACAAGTCTGTAGATTTTAATTTTCCCAGTGCACTCTTGACTGTTTTGCTACCTTCACTTTGTAATTGAACCTTTTCTAATCATTGAGGCTCTGCCTCAAATAAGCATATCAGCCTGAACTCAAATTTTATTGATTAAAGCTGGTGTTTAATGTTAATAAACACATTCTTAAATGCTGATTTGACCTGCGGACTAATGTCAGCAGGAGAAATTGCTTTATTTTCTGTCAGGTTGGACTTGAATGTGCTATTTACAGTTGTACTTTTATTTGCAGGTATTTCTCAGTATTGAGTTATGGTTCTTATATTGTTCATCTTTTTATTGGGACCTTAAGGATGACATTCACTTCACTGCTGAAATGATGCTTCATGCATCATTTAAGCCACTAGACTAATGGGATAAATGGGGCAGTGGAAGGGTTTGTGCATTGGAGTGAATATATCCACAAAGAAAATGGCTTGTGTATTTTTATTGGATCTAAGGACTACAGAAGCATTTTTTCTATTTCAAAACCACGTCACAGGTAAAATATCTGTATAACTGCTGCTAACAGGCTATAAAAATCAGGAAGATGTTAAATAAAATGTGTTTAAATTTGGCATCATATGTATTCATACACAAACACATTTATGCACATTCACAGAGGAACACTGAATGATGACAATGTTACAAGTAAAGATTATTTGGGGAAGTCGAAATTAAATTTTAAATTAATTATTTTAAACAAGTATCAAAGTGTTGAACAAAACATCCAGCGCATTATTGTTGCACTACACATTTCAGACTGATCTAAGACCTGCAGAATAAATGTGCTTTGTTGCAATATCTTAGTGGCTGCTAATTTTTGTTGTTCCTGTGCCATGTTTAGAACTGGTAAAGTGTAATTTTCAGAGAATTGTAATTGAATAAATGCTATTTCTCAGAACTAGGTGATCTATTTTTTCAGAAAAAAAAAGCAGTAAGAATGTTTAAAAAAATAATCTGTGTCTGCCCATATGAAAGCTCTTGAATAATGTGGTAAGAGCTTACTTTTCCATCTGCAAAATGAAGTTAAATGGGAGACTGGTATTTTATGTATGAGCCTATAACAGTTAGAAGACTAAGATTAATATCTTAATAAATCTTAGTAAATCTCAGGTTCATCATTGCCTTGTTAAACTTCTATAATCATGATAGGTGGGTGCAAAGTTGACATGTAGCCATTGTTTTTGTTGTTAACGTAATGGCTGTGTTCTGTGTGTGTGTTTTTTCACATTTATTAGGATGGGTGAGGGAAGCAAGTGAAAACCCAACAAGAAATATGAGCTAGATTCTTCATTTTCTTTTTCTTTACTGAGCTGGATATTGTCTGCTATTTTAGAGTTTTTCTTCAAAACAGATCTCTTTCTGAGGTACTATTTTGGGATGCCAGTTCAAAAGAGCAGTTTGACTAATAGGTTTTGTGCCTCAGCAGAGACTGCCTCAGTGTGGGATCAGTTTCACCAGCTGGGATCTACAGAGTGTATTCATGCTTTGCTGTGTTACTGGGGTTGAGATGCAATTTTTGCATTAAAAGGTTTTGCAAATGTTATCCGAGAATCTGTCCAGTGGGGAAAGGATATCCCCAAAGATTTCTTCAGTTAATGGGGAAGGCTTGGCCATATCATTGATTTTTGTTTCTTCCTTGGGAAGAGCTCTGGGCTGTTCTGCCTAAGGCGAGTTGTTAGGATGCCTCCAGCTCTGTCTGCCAGAGGCACCCCTGAGGTGCCTCTTGCTGTCATGTATTGGGGTAGTTTTAGACTGCTCTGGAGATACAGGGTTTGTCTGAGAGTAAAAGTTACAGGAATTTTATCTCACTGCAATGATTTTTTTTCTCCCCTGATGCAGTGCTGACACAGTTTGTGTTCCTATGAGTGCTGCCAGGTTTCCACCCTCTCCACAGTTCAAATTCCAGATTAAGAAGTCTAAGAAAAAATTTACATGCTCTGCTGGGGATGGGGTTGGTACCTGTAGGAGTAAGGAAATAAGAGGTGCATCTCTCACTGGCTATGACACTTTGTTATAGGCTACCCTGTTATGTCACCTCTCTGATTTTTATATCCTGCTTTCCAGTGAAGTCTGTTTCATTGGGAGAATCAGCTATCAGACTTTACTTGAATTTGAACTAGAACAGCTTCAGTTCTGCTGGAGTCCAAATGGAAACAAACAAACAAACAAAGTCCCCATTTGGAGCATAGAATGCTCTAAAATATTTTGATTTGGGCTACTTAAGAGAAATTTTTGTATTCAGTAAGTTACATTGGGGCTGAACTGTATAGAAACAGACTACCCTGATAGATGGATTGAGTGTATTCCAAGAGGAATTGTTTGCAAGAATATGTACTATCTTGCAAAACTGAGGAAGATGTGGCAAGATTGCCTGGGAAGAGTAAGGATTCTCCAATACAGTATTCCTGCTTCTGAATTGCTAGAGAGATTCTCTGTGCTGTTAAAAAATGATGTATTTGTCAAACTCACTGTTTCTTAAGATTAGACTGTTCTATGTAGAAAGGCAGAAAACCTTGCAAAATTTTACCAGTGATTCACAGTCAGTTTGGAGATTACACTGCTTTACTTGTGGCTCTGCTGAAAATGGGATCCATCTGCAACTCAGTTAGGGGGAAAACCAATCCTGCTCTCTTTTTTTAGTTCTTACCAGTGCTGCAACTTAATGGTTTAGTTATTGTCTTTGGTGAAATTTCTTTGAGAATATTCCTATTATGCTTTGCCATTCATTTTTTTGCTACAAATCCATTATGATCTGTTGTACTGATGAGGAAGGAGGATGTGGATGTTAATGGCCAAACAGACAACTGTATCTTCCTGCTTACCTGTACTTTCATGCAGTTCAGAATTTTGCTTTGTCTACCTGATCTTACTTGAGCTCTGCCTATTTTTGCTCTAGACCCTGTTCTGCATCTTAGACTCTGGAATATCCCAATCTTTAAGGTATCTTATATACACACTCCCACTCTGGTCTAATGTATGGTTCAAACGCTCTGGTTAGATCCCATGGCATCTCTGAATATCTTTTTTGCCTCTGTTTGCAGATAGTGTGTGCTTTACGGTCAAGACCATCATGTCAAGGTTGCCTTAACCTTTTTTTAAAGTTCTGTTAGAGCTGTTCTCAGTGCCACCATAAAGAAATGGATTTCGCTGAAGTAACTGAGAGAGAGAGAGAAAGAGATTCAGATGTTCGCTAATGGGTATTTCAAAGTTCTGTGACCCATTCCTATAAATGCCTCTGAAAATCTTCTACATTTGTATTCCTCAGCCAATCAGAAGGCAAACTACAGTAAATGTACTCTCTTTGCCTTTTTAAATTATTTCAGTTCAGTTCCTTAATGATCCTATAATGATTGCTTGTGCCTGGTAATAACATAGTTTCTTGCAAGTTATACCTTTGGCTACATAAAGTGTTTTCTTTCAGAATTTAATTAACATTGGTTTGTCCAGTACTACAGACAGTTTAAGAATAGGTTGAGGTTTACTCTATGTATGAGTTTCATTACATTGCTTTCTCCCCATCCACGTTTAAAATATGTTTCATTTAAAAGCAAATAATTTCTTTGTATTTGACTATATTGGATTTATATATCTATTTAAATTACAGCATGATTGAAATTTCATTTCTTCAAAGAGATTGTAGCCATTAGCCTTTAGTTTATTGTGTCCAGCACTTACATTTGCTTTCAGATTGCCTCCTTTTCCCACTGTTTACTCATTCATCCTACATATTGGGACTGTTAAAGCTCATTAGATGATAAATATTTTAAACTGCATATGATAATTCTGTGGTCTTCCCAGGCTGTTACAGGTAGAACATTTTTCATGTGAGAATCCTTATAGAAACGAGAGGAAATCAGGTTTCGTGAGAGATAACAGAATTTTGATGTAGGAGTATGTGTCTTTGAGTCTTGGTTAAATCACTGAGTGGAACAAGAGTACACTTTGTCCATAATGTGAAGACAGTAGGATTGGTTCCCTTTTGTCACTTCATGATTTCATATAGTGCAGTTTGGTCAGGTAAATGAGTTTTCAAAATATTTGCATAGGATCTGTTCTAAGAACTAGATAACAGAAAACCAGATATGAAACATCTCTAAAATAGCAATAAATCTAACCATTGCTTTCAGAAAGTTTCTGGGTTTACTCAATAAAAAGCAAATGCATTTTCACTGTTTTCTTCCTTCCAGATTTTAGAGAAAATTTCTCACTAGCTTGAACTTTCTATGAATTTTCAGTATTAGTAACCAAGTCTAATTTAGAAAGTGTATTTTTCAAAACATAAATCTTGATACAAAAAAGGTACTAGAGGTAATTTTTTAAAATGACCTTGTATAAAGGTTTGCTTTCTTTTATGCTAGCTATATCATAGCAGCATTAACTTGTTTAGTTCTCTCTGAATAGTATTTCTGGGATAAATGCATATCTTGTGATGATTATTGATCTTTTTTAATGTGAGTTATGAAAAAAATTCAAACATTTTCCTGAGACTTGCACTCCCGAGCCATATCAAAAGCATATCGTATTAGTAAGTAAGTTTTCTTATAGTTTGTGGGTTTATTGTCACTCTGGACATCTTGAGCGAGACTAATGAAGTCTATAGCCAAATAGATAGTTATCTTTTTGTGGAACTAACCTAATTTTTTTTTTTCAATATATTCTGAAATGAGCAGCAATGTTTTAAATGGACAAAGTGTTTTGTCCAGATTTTTGTGCAGATTTTCATTAACTATAACAGTGGTGAAATCTCATTTTGAATGTTTACCTTAAATCCTCACAGGTATTGGAGGTTTGATGTGATTTGGTTTTTTTGGCAAAGCACGCATGTCATACAGCCAGATACTGGATCTCTGGTAGACATAACCTGCTATGTTAGAAGGTGTGTAACAAACCCAAAAATGTTAAATCATGCCATGTGTTACCTGTTGGTAACCTTTTTTGATGATGCTCTTACATCACTTTGGTTTTCATACTAAAGCTTTCATTTTACTTAAAAAGTGATTCAAAGATATTTTACAAATCAACTAACATTATGCATTCAAGTTTTACTTTCAAATTTTTGTTTGGGCTTTTTAAGCAGGTACAGCAATCATTTTTTTCCTGATTGCACTGAGCAAAAGCAATGAATAGATAAGAAATGTTGTTGTATATACCTTATTTCACCCTAACACCTTCATTTTCAAAACCTTTAATTTTTTTTCTGGTGCGGTCATGCTCCTTGTTATTACAAAGAGAATCTTTATCCTGGCCTGTTCTCAGCTGTTCGGAGATGAAAAATAAGTAGTAAAATGAAAGACAAGTCTGTTGCTTCCAAAAGTACAGTATGGTGTATACTGCCTCTTTTTATAAATGTTTTCAGCTTTAGCCCTTGATATTCACTTTGCTATTCCCTAATGTGTCATTAGTGAGATGAACACATAAAAGTGGTTCCTTCCCTCATGGCCTTACAGGACCTTATTATAAAATTGTAAACTCACCATTCAAGTTATCTCTTTGCAATTAATGAACTGTGAAAAGAAATTGCACAGTGAAAGAATGTAGCTGTATTTATGATTAGGTCTTAAACAGAAGGCCAGTTTATTTGCTACTTGGATTGAAAAAATTACTTACTTTCTCACTATATTTTTATTATCAAGGTGATAAAATGTCTAGTAGACCAACAGGAGTAAAAATTCTGAATGCAAGCAAAATTATATAGGCTTTATTCTGAGTAAAAAAATGTCTCATGAACATTGCTATTTATATATTCCATTTTCAGACAATAACTGTAATTTATGAAGAAGCTAGAGTTCACATCACCATCTGCTTTCAGTAACAGCTTTTGAACTAATATGTAGACTAGAAACTGTTTTTTTTTTCCCTGAGTCAGAACCTTTTTGCCATGGATATCTAGAAACAAACTGGATTTATATGTTAAAAGTATTTTTCAATTTGTTTCACAATCAGTTAACTCAGCTTAATGGATAATTAACTGAACCATGAGAAAGCTTTCCCATGAAGGCTGACACCTCCCCCATTCAGCACACCAGACATTTTACACAACTGAAGACAGAGACATGTTGCCACTTTTTATGTTCCTTTCTAAGACCAAATGCTTGTTCTTGTGTTCCCTGATATTTGTTTCCACTTTATTTTAAGTTGTGGAGCACCATTTTCCAGTAGAAGAGAAGTATTTCTCATCAGTTTATTTGGTGTTGCCCTAAACATTTACAGGTGAAGGAGGTTTGTTGCTTGAAGAGGGTTCAGAGTAAGGTGATCGATCAGCTGGTTTGACAGCAGTAAAAGTTCCCAGGAAGCTGCATCTGCATCTTCAAGAAACAAGTAAGATCGTCTCTCTCTGATCTACAATTTGATTCAGGCCCCCAAAGGCTAATGTCCAGCACATTAGACATGGTATAATTGAACTGTTGAGAAGCAAAATATTAATGAACTGCCTTCCCTTTGGAAGTAATCTAGGATTCTCATTACTAGCACTGCCAGCATTCTTGTTCTTAGTGTCTAATCGACACTTAATGACTCTCTCTTGGTGTCTCTAATTTTCCATAATTAATGTGCATGTAAAATGAATCTTGTAAATAATGTGTGCTTATATACCACATGCTGAATAATGTAAGCAAGCTATTATAGATTGCTTATTTTTGCCCCTTGTGGTCTCTGGATCTCACAACTTTGCATTAACTTGAAGCTGTGAGGGAAAAATCTACCAGGCATCTCATGTCATTGAAGCATAAAACTCAAAAACAATGAAAATATTCTACAGAGAAAAGAGATCAAGTAGGTTCTTTTTGGGTTTTTTTTGTTTCTTTTTCCACACTAAACCATTTTAGTGAAAAATAGATTGCAAGATTTTCAACTGGTATGTATTAGACTGTTTTACAAATATACATCTCAAAACTGATTATGTTCTTAATATCTAAATGTCTTGCAGATGGTCTTTGTGACTACTTACCAAGAGAAAAGTTGTCCACACTTGTAATATCTAGTGAAATTATGAAGTGCAAGCATTAAGTTTTATAGCTTGTTCACATTATATTGAGGGACTCTACAAAGTGGAATTTTTATTTTTCCAATTTTAAGTATGGGCTGATTTTTCAGCAAACTAAATATCAGGTTCACTAGGCAGAGATTAAATTTAGATTAGAGAATCAAAAATTTCTTTTTATTTTTTATAATCTTTTGTGCCAGTCTCTACTCTGCAGTGCTGAATGCTGGTTTAGTATTACTGTATTTGATAACTGTGATTAAAGAAATAAAGATTTTCTCACTTTATTATTTTACTGCTGTTATTTTGTATTTAATCCTGCTTCCCTTGTAAGCTTTAGTGAGTTTAAAGAATTTTCAGTGAGACAGGTCAGGGAGTCTCAGCCCTCACAGAAAATAGATACCATAAGTGTCATCTTTTAACGGTTATATTTTTAATAAGCTCTTTTCCAGCTGCTGCTTAGAATATACAGTCTGTTTCATGGAAATCAAATAGAGTTTGCATTTTTTGTGATTGAAGTTAGAAAGGGCTTGCTCATCAGAATTCTGTACCAGTTCTCTTTTTTCATCTCTTCATTTATCACCTGCCCCTGGAAATTACATGAAGTTGAATCTAGGTCCATGCAGCAATCTGGCAGATAGGATGTCTTATTTTGATACATTTTTCCATACAGATTCAAATAAAAATGAATTTTAAAGTAGAAAACAACTTAAATAAGTATGAATTCAGCTTAATTGGAGGAAACCTTATGGGGTCCTGACTACAACAAAGCTGTCTGCAAGTGTAAATAAATGGCAGTCCACTATTGAATATCTGCTATAAACTTAAAGAAAATGGTTGTTTAGCAGACTGGGGACACATACAGTTTTGTGCTTGTACGTGTACATTTTGAATGAAAATATTTAGCCATGCACTTCTCTTTGCAGTTCATCTTTTTTTTTCTCTAATGCTAATGCCTATTCTGCTGCTGTGAGTTGCTATGCATGTGTATATTCAATATATTTTGAAGCTGCTGTCGTTGCCTTTTGGTTAAGCTGATAGCAGGTGTGCTGTTGAAGCCAAATGGATTGCGTTGTCCAGGAATGCCAACTTGACCTTTGCAACTCTGGCTCCATTTTTCCCTTTCTTCAGGCTCCTCCTACCCATGCTTCCTAGAATTATGGGGGGAGAGCTTCCTTCAGTCCCACTGACGCCTTTCTAGTGTCAGATTAAATTAGGACCTCTCTGCTCTACACAGACTGAGAAATGGTCACACACCTCAGTTACCAAAACATTGGTGGGAGCATTATGGGTGTCAAACACAAAAAAATAGTGATTTTTTAAAACAGCAGTGCAGAGATGAGAGACAAGTGCCTTCGCTTTATAGTTTCTTGAAGCTCTTTGCCAGAAAATGAGTCAAGAATGCAACTGATGTTTTTCATGCCGTAGAGATTTTTGTTGATTTGTGGGTGACAGTGAGATAGATAAAAAGGTTTACCATCATTAATGCAGTAGTGGAGAGGAGCTAAATATATTACCTGAAACACCACAACCCCCACACAAATTCCCCTGTCTGTAAAAAGCAGTGATTGTTTACAAAACATTGTAAAAATTTTTTCCTCGATTCTCCAGGAGTGT